AAAAAATATCAACCATCCAATAAATATGAGATTTGGCAATTGTGATCTTGTTCATAATATCACTGAATTAAATTCACTTTGATTTCATAACCACTTGTTCTAATACATATATGCAATGCATTAGAGCATAGTTTCTCAAAGTGCTCCGTACGGAGCCCCAGGGCTCCGCGAGAGAAAGGGCTCCGCGCATCATTCTTCGCGATTAAAAAAACAGATAACGAGATTTTTGTTGCGTAAAACATTCAATCCACGACCAATGCAAGCATAAAAAGTGTCTTGACGTAATAATTTAATTGTGCTCAACTGCTCATCGTTACTCACGTTTGATTCGAGATTAGTATTAGGATTACTAAAATGAAAATGCTATTCTAAAATAACATAAAATACGTGATAAACTGCCCACTATAAATAAATTGGAGTCGTATTTTTGCAATCTTGGGATTTGTCAAACTTGATTTATTCTTTCGCACTCGAGATTATTTTTAAGCAAGATATCGCCGTTTAAAAAGATTTATTCTTTCGCACTCGAGATTATTTTTAAGCAAGATATCGCCGTTTAAAAAATCACTAGGTCTGGGCAGAATACGAATGATAAAATTTATTTTATTGCATGCGGCTCGTCGGTAGTTTCAGAATGAAAAAAAAGGTACATCGCGCGCACAATTGACTGTGCTTCGATTTCGCAGTTACTACGATGAATAACCAAAGAAAACCTAACATAACACCAAATTTTGTGATTTACAATGCCTATAAAAGCGTTTTTAATCTGACATGAGTCTGCTGAAACCAAACTTATAGTGTTATCGTCCATTTTAAGTTTTAATATTTTAGAATGCCGTTTTTCAATCAAGAAATTTGAGTTGCGGGTTTACCTCTTTATAATAAATTATTTTTATCATCTCGTCGCCGATGACTATAATAATATGGTAATATGTTTTTCACATTGAACTCATAATTCCCCACGAGAACAAAAAAGCAATTATCGTTGTCATTGTGGAACAATACATGTATATGCCGAAGGAAATTTTTGATTTAAGATAAAGATCGGCGTAAAGATGTTTAAAAACACGCTATGCTGACGAAACAATCGGCGATTGTAACAAAAAGCAATCGCGCACGTTATTAGCGACCTTTTAATTCTTCCGAAAATGTCAAAAGGGAAAAGATTCGACCCCTAATTTATTAATATGGTTGTCGAGTGTCAAATTTACAGCTTTAGTATATATAATTTATCTTTGAAATTTAGATTTATTTAGGACGCGTATTAACCCTATTAAAAAAGGTTTAGCATTTAAATTAAGTAAAGTACTTTTAACTTACTCAGGAATATTAATCGGAAGGTAAAAATTTTAACATTTCCTTTGGGGCTCCGTGAATAATAGTCAACCTTTTCAAGGGCTCAGCAACACCAAAAGTTTGAGAACCCCCGCATTAGAGAATTAAACATATATATGGGTAGGGTCAGCACTCGTTTGTATTTCTCGTGGCCACTTGAGTCTTGAGTACGACAGAGATATACTTACTTTAAATACTTTTGTATTTATTTTTATAATCTCCTCTTTCCTATGCATACTTTAACTCGTCGTCTTTGTATTTACGGACCTGAATCTGGTGTAATCTGTTTCATTGTTGAATTTCGTTTTCAAATTTTTAAGTTTGTGGACGCAAAAAAGCAGTCACTTGAAATCACGCTAATACTGCATGATGCAAGTACAATTATCTGTGAGTATTCAATTGTTATTCAATTCTCCAAGTTTTGATTCCAATTCCCACTTCTTCTACATCAGGGGTTCTCAACCTGGGGTTGAAGATTTCCAGGGGTTCTTGGATGACAGTCGAGTTTTCGTGTGTTGCTTTATTTAATATCCTTTGACAATGAAAGTAACTACAAGAGGAAAATCAGTGCGTGCCAATTGAAACTCAGCGTACATTTTCCCTGATCTTGCGTTGTTGTGATTGTAATGCAACAATGTGAAATGCACGGCTTGGCAGTCGTTGCAGCAAATTGTTAGTCAATATATATATCACAATTTAGTGGTGTCTGATTACTGGGGGTTCGTGTTGATTGTTTCGTGACTCTGGCGGTTCGCGTTGACTGTTTCGTGACTCGGGGAGTACTTAACAGAGAAAAGGTTGAGAACCCCTGCTCTACATAGTTTATACATAGCATAGCGACTTGAAATTCAACGCGGTAGCACGTTTTGACTTGACAAAAATATGCTGAACATGCGTAGGACTCTGCAAGAACAGAAGGGTATCTGACATAGGATTTATGAGCAAATGTGCAAATCCATTACATGAGATGCAAAGATATTAACATTGATCTACCTACATAAAGGCGTGATAATAAAATAAATTTATTATCTTCATTTTTCACAGCTTTTCCTTAAATCTATCAGTTCCAGAAACTAAAAGTCGTTGTGAAAAAGTTTTCTCGGTTGCAATATATGTTTTTTTTTTCAAATTGAATCGAACCTCGGATACTTGGAAAATATAAAATTGTATGTAACTTTCTCATTGTATTGGGTCCTCCAGACACATAAATTACTGAAAACATAGAATAGGCCCACATCACTCAGACAAAAATATGCTGGCAATGCGTAGGACTCCGCTAGAACAGTGCTCCGCAACTTTTTTTTACCTTGCGGCACACCTATAAAACTTGCCAAATTCGACGGCACACCACAACAAACGAAAAAGACGAAGTGTAACTTTGTTTTATGTTCATATTTCAATGAGAGATTTGTGGTTGTATATAGAGCACAATCGCTCTATATTAGGATCAATACGTGAAAGAGCAACTCGAAGTTCGACGTCAACATGTTTTATGTAGGATCGTTCATCGTTTTTGATCAGTAATAAAGAGGAAAAGCTTTGTTCGCACACATAAATGGTGCAAAAATGGAGCAATACTGGAAATGTGCGCTTATATTCTTCTTTTATTGAAATCCAAAACACATCAAGTGGAACTTCACTGAATTTGAGTCTTAACGTTCTGTCATTTCTTACTTCAAAGAAATTTTCTCGAATACGCAGTTCGAATGTTGCTCAGTATCAGATGTTTTAGATGTTCTTTTTAAAAATTTATCCATTTTGCTAAACTTTAACGTTCCTTCACATTTTTAATCAAAGACCACAATGCAATATATCTGCTTGACATATGGGCCTATTCCTTGTTGCGTCACAAATGCACAGTGGGGGGAGTCAGGAATTTGAATTGGTGTCACTCAAGCTAACGTAAAAACAAGTTCACTTTAGTAGAGTAGTAGACTAACGTGAAATTAACAAAAGATAAAAAAAAAATTGAAAAAGAAAGTTGCAATTCCTATGCGGCACACCTGGCATCGTCTCGCGGCACACCGGTGCGCCGCGGCACACCGGTTGCGGAGCACTGCGCTAGAACAGAAGGGTATCTGGCATAGGATTTATGAGCAAATGTGCGCAGCCATTACATGAGATGCAAAGACACTAACATTGATTTACCTACATAAAGGCGTGATATTAAAGTAAATTTATTATTCTTATTTTTTCACAGCTTTCCCTTAAATCTATCAGTTCCAGAAACTAAAAGTCGTTGTGAAAAAGTTTTCTCGGTTGCAATATTTCGTTTTTTCAAATTCGAATCGAACCTCGAATACTTGGAAGATATAAAATTGTATGTAACTTTCTCATTGTATTGGGTCCTGCAGACACATTTAAAATAACTGCTATTCATAGATTATTAACCATTTATAAAGTGGAAAAGATTTCTTGCTATCGACTAGGACTCAGTGATTCTCGAACTCCATTGTATTGCGACGCCCTCCAAAAATATTCTCAAGTTGCGACTTTCCATGAAAATACGTATTGATACCTTTCAATAAAAGACCTTTATTGCAATGAGTTTCATAAAAACGAACAAACAAAACCTAACGACATTCAGTGAAATCACATTTAATAGGCCATGGTAGAAAAGCCTGCTTTATAAAAATACGAAATCGCAAAGAGGATGGGAGTGCACAACGCTTCTTGAAAAATAAAGAAAAAATAATCTTCAAAAATAATCTACAAAAATAAAACGAATTTTCAAAATTAAACTTATTTATCATAATACCATCACAAATTTTGCGACGCCTCTAACACTTCCACCGGACTAGTTAAAAAAATTGCACTATTGACGAATTCTTTTTTAAGGAGAGCGCTTATATTTAAACCATTCTTGAAATTCAAGCTTGGTAATATTTTCGGGAAAATATTTTCGGCGCGGCGGTGTGGCTCAGCGGGCTAAGCGTTAGGAATACGCTCGCCACCGCACCTCTAATTACTCTGCGTGGGTTTGCAGGTTCGAATCCCATGTAGGGATGGTTATGTGCGAGAGGATTGCTGGACTCCTCGCCGTCGTTGAGTGGTTCACGTGACCGCTGGTCGGTTACGGCTTCCTTCACCACCAAGTCCATGCTTCCGAAAACAAACAATATAACTAATCCCATACCCGACTTGGAATGGTGACCGGACGAGAGGCTGTGGTTCGCCATATGGATAAGCCGTCTTATCGGCTTTCCTCTCCCCGGGATAAATATGTAAATCCTATCCTATATACTACTACGCATCGCGCTTGCATAACAATGCATATTCTGATCGTAAGACCCGATTTGCGCATGCTTGCATAACAATACTGCAATACCGGCTTTAATCGCTAAGCTAGCGATTCCCGAATGCGATTAGCTAAGTGCGCCTCGAAACATATCATATATTTTATTTGTTCTAAATGTTTTATTGTTTCTCATTACTGCAAATGATTGGTATATGAATCAAATTCATTCTACCGTTCTATATTGTTTACTTTCTATTACCGTACGTAGGGGTCTATTGTTACGTAAAAAAAGAAGTAAACCAACCAGCATACGGTACCGGTACATGCGGCAATTTCGTAGGCTGCAGTTTACTCATTTACTGAACCGAGTTTATCGAACATGAGTGATTTTTTAGCATTTTAAAGAAAACCTAGGCAGAGATAAGAAAGAAAGGTTAACCTTGATTTGCTTCAAAAGGCATAAAGTACCGGTACCGGTAGGTACATATTAACGATGACTAAATTGTGTTTCATTTTGAAGCAGTACCTATATTTTTCGTGTAGGTGCGCCATGAGTTTTTTTCTGATAATTTGGAGCACACAAACCGATGCCTTATGTTAAGTTTGATCAAGAACAATTCCGGATAAGGACCAGCCGTCGGTGGCCAGACATTGTAATTCATCAGTTCTGCAGTTAGGCCTGCATAAACAAACATTGCGCCACGACTGGACGATTTGGAGCAAAAAGCATTCGCACCATTACCTTGAATGATTGAGTACCCTAATCCTGTAATCTGAGTGAATATGTGCTTGTTTTTGTTATTAAGTAGGCCAGGCCTACTGAAGCTGGGAATTAGCTGTGTCAATTAAATATGAAAAATGCATATTTCGAACTGTTTAGCAATATTTAGTTACTTGAACAAGGGCCGCGAAAAACTTCAATGTATCAAAAGGGGCCGCGAGCTCAAAAGTTTGGGAAGCCCTGATATAGGTCATAGGAGAACATATATGGGGTTAGTATCCACTATCGGTGATAAAAATTGAATCTCTATTCAGCTATCAGAAAATTAATAATGCTTCTAATTTCTGATTTTCCGGTTATTCCTGTTGTATTATTTCATGTCTAATGCTGGTTTTCTCATTGTACTTTTTCCTCTTACAATACTGGGGTCTCATGTAGTTTCGTACCTAACATACTTCTAGTGAGCGTAGCATGACAATTTTTCCACGTATCAATCCTAACCCCCACCTGACTACACCATCCAATAATTACGTCAACACGACGTCACAGTGACGTAATAGAGCCCTTCAAACTATACGAACTACCATCCAAGACCTGAAGACGCGTAAACGAGCATCCAAAATCAAACAGTCATTTCTCTCGTTTTCTCGTCGCAACGATTCCAATAGGAGAGAGATCGATAACGTCAGTCAGTTCTCTATCGTCGGCGCCAATTCCATTTCGGGCGATTGTACGTATATTTGGCAAGCTCTATGACGTGATTGTGATGTCGTAGTGACATAATTTTTGGATGGCGTAGTCGGATGGGGGTTAGGATTGACATATCAAAAAATTGTTATGCTACGCCCACTAGAAGTACGTTAGGTACGAAACTACACGAGACCCCAATACTGCAATATGTAAAATCTCAAATTGCAATCTTATGGCTGTATGGATGAATTGCACATGGGGATATTCTTATGGGGAATGAAAATCAACTTCACTATTATAATTATTATCGGAATTAAACCATCTATCCCGGATTATGAACAATTTACTGTTTCAGTGTTTAGTTCAGTTAGTTTGTACACAATACAATACAAATACATTGTACTGCATGTATCAAAATCTCTGTGATTGGAATCTACTCAATACTGCAATATCTAATGATACTCTGGACTGGATGGCACTTGATGAATTGTATTTTTCAATTTCATATTAAAGAGGGGGATGTCTGAATGTGGCATACAATAAACTTTTTATTAAGTACATGAGTGGTAGTATAACCTCCCGACCCCTGAATTTTGCTGTCTCTTCTCTGGGTAAATGAATCTCTTATAGGTCATTGCTTGCCAAGCGCTGTTTGAAGATGAGCAGATATCAACACAATGCAAGCAAAAATCCGCTGCCTGATGATTGTCGGCCTGCCAGGAAAAGACCCAGAATATTTTCATCTTCAATTGATAACCGTACCAAAGCAATGCAAGAAGATGACGATCCTTTTGCTGATGATGATGTCACTGGGGAGGAATTGAAGGAGTGGGAATTTTTTGCATCTCAGGTAATAATTTTAATGTAAAGCCCGATTTTCATATGATGGCATTGACACATAGCTGGGCATTGGTGGTGAGGTGAATTAAATATACTTCCGACCTACATGTATAGGACAGCATTTTCATCTCTTAACAATATGATTATGAATTATGATGAGAAACACAGGTCGACACTTTCCCTAGAGTCGGATCTATGAGTTTGCTTATCACCAATTGCTCTGAGAATCGATAAACTTTTCAGATTGAATCTTCATTTACTGGTTTTGATAAGTTTTCATTTGATTTACACCTTCTGTTTAATGCAATGGACAATAGTACAAAATTTGATCTCAATTCACCAATAAATCATATTTTCACTAAAATATCAAAGCATGATAAATAGATGTTTGGGCACATATGTCATAAAAGTACTTCAAATTTAGCACATGGGATACGGTGATTGTGGATTTTCGCAGTCTCAAACCCGGATTTTTCTGAATATATATTGGTTTAGTTTTATATAATAATGAGAATGCATTTATTCTTCAATATTACATTCCCTTGTATTTATTACTTATGGTAATAAATAATAATAGTTGTAATAGTGCATTTTCGATCGTCTGGCAAGGTTATTATTATTAAGTATTGAAATTCATTATATTTCTAATTCTAATTGTGTCTATTGAACAACCTCATATTGATCAGTGATTCATCAAAATGAGTACTCAGAACTCTCATCATCTCGTTTTATGAAGATTTTTATATGTATCATTTGGTAAAGGATAGTCAATAAGAAGACCGAATCACATGGTAGGCCACGGCCTCCCGTTCAAATGTCTGAAATTGAAATAGTTGGCCAGTTATTTTGCGGAATATATGCTATTCAGTTTAGTTTTCGGCTGTAATAAAAATAAAATAATTTGATCGCGATATTTGTGAAGAAATCAAGGGGTAGTCACTGGCTGTGTGCTTGCCAAATACTATTATCTTTCGTTAATCTGCATCTTCATACTTTGCAGGCAGAAATGAAATTGACTCAAGAACAGTCGGAAGTACAAACCACACAAGTTAATGGTCACCATCAAAATGGGACAGGGAACTCTTCTTTCAAAATTCCCCCAAGAAAAACAAGCCATATTATCACTAATCAAAAAAACTCTGATTTTGTAGAGGAATTGAAGAATAAAGTGACTGTTTGTGAGAATCAGGTACCGGTATATATATTTTATAATATTAGCTCAATGCTCAATGCAAATAGTACAATCACCTACTTGATTGAACCCGACTCAACCAATACGTCAAACTCAAATGCCCAGTTTCTTAATTGAGCTTCACACCACGATTAACCAAGATATGTGACTGCAACTTGTGGACGGGAATATATCCTTTACTTAAAAAAAATTGTCTGTATCAGCAGCCAACTGCTAGGTATGGAGTTACTATCTCTGAAAATAAGTCAATAGTTTCCACTAGTCAACATAAGTTTTAGGCTAATTTTTTCTCCAGGAATCAGAACTTTTGGAAGTATCGAGTTGATCTTCTATGATTTTTCTCTGACTATGTCTACAGCACATTTGTTTACACTTTTAGTTAGAGATCTAGACTTTGAAAAAAATTGCACAATAAATTATGATCCATATAAGAGAAATGATGTTGAAACCCAATTTTGATTGATGCATTCTTGAAAAAATTGATAGCAGATCTGTATTTCATGTACAAAATTGATAAGATCATCTAAAATACAAACATCAATATTTTGCTCCTGAGTTTACTTGACATTGAATATGGATCACAAATTATTTATTCATGTTTGTGTTGAAAGAGACCTAATGTATAGAAAAGAATTGTAATTCTATTTTATCGATATAAAATATTTTCAAGTTTTTCTTCCATTAACTTGCCATAGATTAAAGAATTGGAACAATCATATAAAATGAAAGATGGTGAAACTTTGATTCTTCGAGACAGATTGTCCAAAGCAGAAAAAGATTTAACTCAGCAAAAATTAAAAGTTGTTGAAGTTCAAAAAAGATATGATAATGCTGAAGTTGAGCATGACAAAAAACTGCAAAAAGAAGTAAATAGCGTATTTGTTTGCAATATTATTGCCTTTATAAGCAAGGTTTTGTAAATTAGAATTATGAATCTGACCATATTTTATTACTTCAGGAGGCATTACTTTCCATCAGTAACTGCAGCGCACAGTTTGAGCATTACCTGGTGTAGGTGATTTTTCCGGCTATTTCTATTCATATAACTTTGCTATAATTATTTGATATTACATTATTAAATATTAAAGTTCATCTTTTATTCGACTAACAGCAACTCAGAAAAAAGACTCAACATTTATTATCTTGAATGATTTTTTTTTCAGCTGGAAAGATATAAGGATCAAGTACAGTTCAAGCAAGCTGAAATAATGGAATCTCAAAACTTGATAAAAAATTTGGAAACAAAATATAAAATTTTGGAACAGCAAAAAAATAGGTCAGTGTTAGTATTGGAGCCAGGTAATAAATGTTAGCTTGGTCTGGTCTACGACGTTTGTCTTTATTTAATCATAATATCAATTGTTGGACATCTGATTGAATGGGAGTGCAGAAGTGATACAAACACACATGTTCATAATTCAGATTTGTTCTGCTGTCTGTCTTACCTACCATTTTAAAATTTCATTTACAGTAAATGTCCAAGTAAATACTGTTGATTAATGCACTGTGGACTACAGTGTAGTCCTAGGTCATTTAAATTCTCAATTTGGCCAAGGAGTAGGAATCAATATTTGTGAATCTTTTAATGGGAGATTGTGAGATATCAGTGAATCGCCAACAATCTGTACAGTCCTGCCAGTTCTATTGATTATTGTATGCCATAACCATAATTGGTCGTCTAGTTTTTTTTATCCGTAATTGTTTTTATATTTTTCATCAATAAGCTGGTTTATTTTTTCCAGTGGAACTTCTGATAACATCCTGAACAATACTAAAAATGGTTTTCATGACACCATGTGGACAAATTCTCAATCTGAGTCTGGAACCTCTGCTTCAAAAAAGATACGATTAGTTAAACCAGAAAGTCCTAGGGTCCAGAACTCTCATCTGCTAAATAAAGCAAGCTTCAGTGATGGTTTGTCCTTAGTTTATTACTTTTTTATATCTTTTAATCACAATGATTGCATTATGTTTCCATTGCTTTACTTTTATATTTCTGAAAACGGACAATTTAACAAAATGTAATTATGTTTGCCCCATGTGGTATACTCCATGGTGCTGAATATAAATTGTACCCCTGCTCTCATAATTTGATAAGGGATAATCATGAATAATATTCCTATTTAAGATGTTTTTTTTTTCCTCTCTAAATATAATATTATTGTTTATTTGTCTGTCTTGTTGCAAATTACCAGAGTGAATGTAAAAGTATTTAAACTAGTGACTGAAGCAAGACTAAATAAGTATAATTGAAATTGTAATATTTTCAGATCCACTTGGTAGAAAACACCCAATGAAATCTTCGCCTAATAAGCATTCTTCTGAAATATCATCATATTCTGCTGATGAGGTATCCTTGACAAAAACAAGATCGCCTACACATTTAAAGAGATTATCCAAGCTTAAATTGAAGTCAAAATATTTGTCAAATGGTAGGTATTCATTTGTTACCTCAACTCTTTATCATAGACAAAAAAAAAGTATGACTACCATTTAGTCCAGGGTTGGGCAACATACAGCCCGCGAAAAGTTGACTGTACATCCAGTGGCGCAACCAGGCCGTTTTCAACGGAGGTTGGGGGGTCCGACCGGAATTTACACAGTGCAACCACGACGTAAATCGCAACGCCACTAGGTGTCGCCCCGCTGAAACACGATAAATTGCTCGTGGTTAAAAGGGAAACGCCATCGATTAAATCCCAGCCTTTCGCTTACCTTGCACTCGTTCATTAACGGCGCTTCGCTATGTCTTGCACCTCATGGGTAGCAAAACGCCGTTCATTACATTCCAGCGAATTGCTAACGAAAAGCTGTGAATTATTTTCAACGTTCCCCTCGCTTTGCGCTTCGTGGATAGTGAAACACGGCTTGAATAAATTCCAGTGTTTCCCTCGTGCCGCGTCTTGCTCGTTGGGTGAATTCGTCAAGACTAAAAACAAAATGCACTTCTTGCGAATAGACCTTTTCCCGACCCTAACCCAAGAAAAATTCTAAACTAAACTGAAGCTCACCGGAAGACATAATGACAATTAAAATAATTGATTTACAACTAGTTTTTGGAAACACAACTAAATACTGACTAATTTAATGCAGGGATGTCCAAATCAAATTTAAATTCAAATATCGCAAACTTCAAATACTGTTTTTTCGTGTTTATAATAATCCCGAATATGGCGCACATATCCTAGCGTCGTCGTCCATGTGTGGTTCGGCAATATATTACGGCTGACATGAAAGAATTTCGATAAACGCCGACTTAAGAACTTATAAGACTTCGAGGACGTTTTTGATTGAAAATATTTTCTTATCGTGTATTTTAACTTAGTCGAGATGGTTTAGGCGTCCTCGGCGAATTGTGTCTTAATTAGTTGTTTTCATCCTCAGTTTCGATAGTGACCGAACATAACAGGAAATTTTTTCATTTCTTGTAATTTAGCGCGTATAAAATAGCTCCTAGATAGTATTTAATATCTCTCGCGGATTTCGTCGGCATCCGGCGTTGATGACAACATCGTTCAGTTTAAGTTAGCGGTATTCATTTACAAACAAAAATACATAACAGCCGACATGCAATATTCAAATCAGCGCAGAGTTCAAAAATAAAACACGTTTTATGGTCTTAATATGCACATAGAAGGAAGAAAGGACAGAGAAATAACGACTAAAAACTAAGAACGGTATGATATGTTTGTGTACTTTTGTTTACCATCGTCATCATAATCAAATTAGTTAAACCCGATTCCCAAATTTCCGTCCGCCAATAATGGAGAATAAAGATGGAAAAACGTGTTTTACTTTTTGAGTCGGCGTTGATTTAAATTTTTCATGTTATGTGTTATAATTTTCTGATTATAAACCAATACCTCCAACTTAAAATGAACGATATTGTTATCAACGAAGTCGGGATTACGATAAAATCTCCGATAAAAACCAAATAATATTTAGAAGCTATTTTATAAATTGCAAGAAATTAAAATTAGGGCAGGATTTGCTTTTAAGTTTATTGCCGAGGCGCACAACATATCTTGACTAAATTGAAATATACGATAACAAATGTAAAAAACTTTCAACCAAAAACGTGCTCGACGTCTTATAAGCACTTCAAGTCGGAGTTTATTGAAAACCTTTCACGACGACTGTTAGTTAGTGCCGTGCCACACATGGCTGCTTTCGATTGCGATAAAAAATGAAATAATTGTGAAATGTTTTTAAATCAGAACGTGGACGGGGGCGGTAGAATGTGTACAGCGTTTTCGGTTTTCGGCCTTTCATATGTAGAAAATCTTAGGTTAATCGAAGCAATATTCTTCCGAAAATAATTTTCGTATCCAGATTTTCAGAGTTTCTACTGCATTATTATAACATGAAGACGGGCGGGGTTACATTGCGTCAAGATGATGAAGCACGAGAGTATTCGTCACAAGAGAGAGAGAGATAGCATTATGCTATTGTCGCTTTCAATTCGCACCGACAGCGCGCGATTTCTACTTTTTTGAGGTAACAGATCACATTTTCGAATACAAACATATACGCGGGGATAGCGATTATTACGTAATTAACAGCAAAAAGGTATGATTGAAGTCGGGCGGTGTTAAATTACGTCGAGGTGATAAAGCACTGGAAAAAAGTAGTTTTCACCGGATTGTTATGACCGTAGAACGACGTTGTTTGAACGTAGAACAATAATAAAAAAAACGAATTACAAATGGGGACACGACCCCCCCCCCCGCTGGTTGCGCCACTGTGTACATCAGTACATTATGATATTACACTTTTAGTACATTGTGATAAATTCATTGTGTTTTTTGGTCTCTATTTTTCGTAAAGTTTAAACTTTACTTTAAACGCGATTTATTATTTTTTTTTGCATTAGCGAATAAATATCTGATTAAGATATTGAATACTATTCATGTAATAATCCGGCCCACCGAGGACTTCATTTTCCCACATCTGGCCCGCCAACTAGAGAAGTTGCCCACCCCTGATTTAGTCACATTGAATGAAATGTCATTAAAATCCTGAAGGAAAATTATTCTCATTATTCTCATTATTTGACAAATTTTTGCCACATGTTAATCAACCACAAATAAAACTAAAGAGTAACAAAATAAGTATTAGCGATAGTAAGCCTCTTAGCATGATGCACCAACCGCCAGACCATAAGATATTCTGAATGCTCGGTCAGTAGCCACATGCCATCGTCATAGTCTTTTCTGTTTGTCTTCTAATCCAGGTTTCGTATTGACATCGAATTGCATTGAAGCAGTAGAATCTTTTGCTGATGACTTCGTTTCATGTCTTCCTTTATTTTAATTAGGTTACAGCTTTTAACATACTAATACATTCTTATGCTTACCCAAATCCGTATGATAGTCATTTATATAGCCTATTCATTTCATTTAGAAAGTTCAAGTGGACAAATGCTATTAAGAAATATTCTGTCAAAGACGGATGAGGCCCATTCAAACACTAGTCATCATTCTTTCATGAATTTATTAATCAGGAAAAACAGGTTTGACCTTGCTATTTAAAAATTTGTGTTTAATTAGTTCTTGAAGCTGAAAAGTAAAGAAAAAATTTTAGAGCTATAAATTTTGGTTTCTTCTATTGTAATACGCGTGTGTGTGTGTGATATTTGTTTTGGGGGGTAAAGATTCATTACCCTTGTTGATAATTGCTTTAAAATTTTGTAATATTAACAAGGTTCATTTGTAAGTTATGTTAGACAACTGAGAGATTTGATTAGGATATTTATTCTAGCTTTTTTTATCTCTAGTAGAAAGTTGCTAAGACGGCTAAATTATATGGAAACCGAAAATTTTTGTTTAGTTAACAGATCAGGTTAATTATGAAAAAAGTTGGCCAGTTTTTTGTTTCAGATGAATAGTGAAGGATGCCATATCTGCGATGAACCAACTTGTGATACTGAGGTACCCAGTAATCCTCTTGCACATAATCATCCATAACAGCAGGGTTTCCCAAACTGTGTGCCGTGGCACACTAGTGTGCCGCCAAGGTTTTGATAGTGTGCGGCAGATTTTTCACAAAATCACAGATTATTACACAATCAGCATGACCATTATTACATAAGAAAAGTCACACCAGCAAAGAGAGCGAAAATATTTAAAAAAAATTTTCTTGAAGGCCTTCCCACAACCTTTCCTTCCAGGCCTCTCCTTCTCCACAACTTACTTTTGCGAATCCGCCCTTATCACAGATGAATAACAAACTAAGGCCACGACTGAAATCCATTGAAGATGAACTAAAGGCTTGCTTGACCTCCAGTTCGCCGCGCATCGAGACAATATGTGCTAAAAAGCAAGTGCATGTATCGCACTAATACTGCACATGTCACGGTTATTTTTTAATGAACTGTGTCATTACCGAACTAATTAGTTCTTGAGCTCGTTTTCATTGTTTGCCAGTTTTGATATCTGAATAAATATACAGCAGTTTTAGTCTAGGACCTAGGTTCTAGGTCGAATTCCGAGTGTGCCGCATATGAAATTTATTTTGCAAAGTGTGCCTTGAGCAAAAAAAGTTTGGGAAACTCTGCCGTACGGGAATTGAAACTGCAAATCCATGGTGTAATCAAAGTGCGTCCCTTATGCTTCCCATGATTTAAATAACTGTCAGTCGATTAGAAAAAGACTTCAACCACAATTTTAAAAAACCCCTCCTCAAAGCTGTATATATGCATATAAAACTGGAAAAATGTTGTTAAGCTTGGGTGCAATGAATGTTCAACAACAAACTCTTTCCTAATGTGAATTATTATTATGACTCAGAAAATCAGCGTCATTACAAAGCCTACACCGAATGATGTTGAAGAATAACAAATCCCAGAACAAAGTATTTGGTGAGTTAGTTTTAATTGTACATGGTTCTGGGACAAATTTCGAATCGATATTCCATCCGGTTATTCTGTCATAATTGCTTAATGTTTTTGTAAGTGTGATCGTTTCGGCGGCCGACATCCTAACATCGGTCAACATCGGTTTCTGTAAATTCTTTTTTCAAGCAGAACTGGGTCGGAACTTTGGAAAATTGGGAAAGTTAAAAAGCGATCATTGGCACGGATGTGGAAATTAATTGAATGAAATACATTTATTCGAATAATTCTCTTTAATGCTGGCTCCATATCCCCGTTTATGAATTACGTTTTATGCCAATGCTACCAATACTCTTAAACAGTGGTAATGGTAACACTACAAGTTGAAAACTCACTTACAAACAGTTGGCTGTATATTAGGGATAACTAATTGATGATGGTTGTGGGCTGGATGATTTTGCATGCTGTAGCTTGCCGACCCCTGGTTTAAGCAAAACTGCTGGTTGGAATTGATATTTACGAATCTGGTATGGAAGCCTGTAAATTATATCTTTTGATTTAGGCCCCAACTGTTTCTCTTTATTCCTGCTCGACTTCTTGTTTCAACCACAACTCATCAGTTTTCATTCTCTCTATCATTTATTTCTACCAGGTAATTTATGCCAATTACGTCATAATGAAATCAATGATGTTTCTGATATGAATGATGAATTTGAAATTTTATCTCTCATCAGCGATATATTCATTTCTTATATCAACCTACAAGAATCTCTCACTGGAAACAGAATGAACAGTCAGGATACTTCATCTTATCATACTGCCCGTAAGTTTTTGTTGAAATTTTGAACTTGCAGATGAACGCAATTATAAGAATCAAAATACGGTTTGTTCACTGGGAAAAGATTTGACCGAATATGCTATATCTGAAATTGAGTTTTTCAAAGTTGACTTATCGTAGTTGCAAATTAGAATGAATGAATTTTTTTTTTGTCTGATTGTTATTGCTCATAATATGGTTTTATTTTTTATTGTTCTTATATGAAGAACGGATATAATTCTCCTCTTAGTACTCATTAAATTCACTTTGGTAAAGTTTCATACCAGATTAATTAATATATGTTCGTGAAAATATTCATACTGCGAATATTATTTTTTGATTTAGCGCTGGAACAACCTGCCAGTACCGCAATAATTCCACATTGCACCTCAAACGCACACAGCAACAATAGATCGTCTATTTCTAAAGATACTGATGCTGCTCTACAAGTACTTCATATATTAGTGACCAATTCTCATAAGATAAGAGACTTTTTACTCAACCAGGTATGATTAAGCATGGTAATAGTATTCATAAATTTATGTTATATGCATTTTATCTTATTCAGGAATTTTCAAGCATGTGTGTTTATGATTTATTTTGGTTATCATTTTACACTTGTGAGAAATGGAGGCTTTTGTTTGGTGAACTTACGACTGATAGCTTATTTTCAGTAAATGCATAATATGTCAGTTATATTTGGTTTTCCTACGTTGGGTATACTTATTAAATTTGCGTTAATCTGATTTATTTCAGTCATCTGATATTTTGACGAATTTGTTAGCAATGTGCCGTACAGAGAGATGGAATTTGAATCTCGAACATCGTGAATGTATATCATCAACTGCATTAAGTATTGTCAATATTCTTGCCAAGTCGATCATAGCGGACATGTCAATCACGAGGTAAGAATGTTCGCTTTTTGATTTCTGTAATAAACGAGAGTCATTGAAATAGGTTATATGGTGAATTTGTGATAAAAATCAAGCTTTGTGGAAAATTGTGCTTTTTAAACAGTTTGATTCCAGTCTCTAATGACCATGGAGAGGATCTTTTGCTAAATTGCCATTGTAGTTTTTTGGGTTATTCTTGTGGGTGTAAAAATCTCTTTCTCCTTCACTAATGGATCAATTGTTTTCCAAATTTCAGTACTTGATCTTCAAAAATCCCTAGAAGACTATTGTGTATATTTTTTCCCCAAATATCCTATAATCCCAATGTTTTAGCCAAAATTTTTCTGTTTTATTTCTTATCCACTCAGGCTGTATCTGTACAGATGTGAGAACTTGGTTTACATATATTTGAAAAGTGCTTGTTTTTTCAAGATGCAGTTTAACCCCAAAAAAAGTTTTATAGGAGCAACCACTGATACAGAAACGTACCTGCTTATTTAACCATGTTAACTGATAATATTGAATAGTGTTTTAGAAGTATATTCAACCTTTTTAACAGATTTACAACTACTCTGAAGCCAGAAGTAATGGCTCCTCTAATAACACATCAAAATATTGATATTAAATTAAACTCTCTTGACGTCATCATCACTCTCTCACATCATCCATCTTATGCACTTTCTATTGTAAAAGAAGAACAACAATCAGGTATAAAGCTTTGTTAGTTTCAGTAGTTTTGTTCGTCTTTTCGGTCAATTTTGTCAGAATAAATAGCTTATATAATAGGTGATTTAATAACGAACTGATTATTGATTTTTCTTGTTTCAAAGTTTTTAAATCCTTTACTACAGAAATGAGTTTCAAGTTGTTTGATTTCTAAGTCCCTAGATTTAATAGTGAGTATTATATATTTAACCGAAACATTATTTTAACAAATTATTTTTTATGGTAGACACACCGAGCATTCTTTGCCACATTTGTGATATATGCTGCACTGTACGACCACAGACTGTTATCGAAGGTGACTGGCTGATATTACTTACAAAAGTGAGGCTTAAATCTATTTAAACGTTATTTGGGAAAATAATTTTTTTTAAAATAGGCATCATATACCTAGGAATGATCTGCTGGCTTGGGAGTCTGCGCCTGAGTTTAAGTGCTAAACTCGGAGTCAAAATTTTAAGCATCTAAAGGTGGTTTTATGGAAATTAAAAATCAGCGAGACAGCTTAGGCTTGGAATTTTCTACAGAAAGTAAAAGAAATCAATTTGTGGTGAAAATATGTTGAATTTTGGATATTTTTGAACCCAGAGTGCCTGGTTAAAATATTCATCTGAAGTCATTTTTTTGCTCAGCTTGCAGTTGGAGTGAAACGCAATAATAATATGAAGAGATATTGATGAAAGTTATCATGATGTACCAACACTCGATGTTAAAACCTTCAGTGCTTAAAGTTTTTATACATGTCAGAATTTCATAATGTATTCAGTTGAATACAAGTGTTATTTTGCAACAGGTGATGACTTTGCTTTCAATTCTAATATCTGAACACGAATCTCTACTCGTTGATCATTCATGTTATTCAGAAATATATAGAGCTGCTGATGTATTGCTGTATAATCAGTTGGTTACATGGAAAAAAGAAAGAAGCAATTGTCTTAAAAGGTTAAACCTTTTTTACATAGTGGTATTTACTGTGCAGTTTCATTTTAAATAGCTGCAGATTTAACAAGCAGTTTCAGTCTGGAGTGTAAATTTTTATGATTCATTACAATATTGGTATTCATCAAATCTTAATTTTTTTTATGCGTCTTGTCTTCAGGGTCAATCTAATACAAAAGGCACTCTGTCTACTACATTCATGTGCAAATGTTTATACTGATGCCATACCTGGCAGTAGAAGAGATCATCGACACCAACTAGTTTTGACAAACTTAGAAGAGTTCTTAAACATTAATGAAGACCGAACCTCTTTTTGGTCACAAGAATTGAACAGGATTGTAAAATTGGAAGTCAGTGCTATTTTCGAGGATGTTGATATAACTTGAATTTAAAAAAATATCTCTTAAGATATGCAATGGTATTATGACATCACATGGTATGTGGGTATGGACTTACCTGCAGTCTCTCATGCATGATTATTGGGTTTAAATGAGATGTACTTTGATTTAGGACAATTGTTTTACTGTTCTTCTCATATTATTGATTCTTTTAATCCATTGAACTATGAGATGACTATGTGCATTGGCGGGTGTCGGTGGCCTTCATCCAAAGTGAAATGTCGTCCGGAAACGATCATAGAAGATATTTTCTAAGTGCTTCATGTTGAATTGATACGCTCAGTTGTTTTTTATTCGATATGCCAGTTAACAGTTCCTGCCTTATTGCCAAGTGGTATACTTTTAATATTGCCAAATAAAATTCTCTGCTGTCAATTTTTTGAATAAAAACTCATGTTTTGAGTTTCAATTGTCTAGTGTCCACTTCCGATATATACCATCACTTCACATGTCGCCATATATTGCGCCAACGCCATAGGTAGCCAAATATGGACTATGAGTGTTCTGTGCAGCATGTTAAATTCTATCCAACTGCGCAATTCTGACGAACAAAATTTGAAATATCGATTGAATAATTTTGCAAGTGAAGATAGTAAAAAGTAGGTATTCAACCAGTATCCGTGCATACTCTCAAACGATGACTTCTCTTAATTTTCATTTATTTCTATTCACACCATTTATAAAGGATTTCTGTATGCATTTCTTTTTTTCCCTGTCGTTTTACTGTGGCTCGAAGTCCTAAAAGACACCTGAAATGAAAAATTGTCATTTATATGTATTGATTACCGTATTTCCCAGCGAATAAGTGTGCCCGGTAAATAAGACGAGGCCCGTTTTTAAGCCCGGAAAAATTGGTTTCTGCATACAACCTCCCAATAACATCGGAATCTCAAATTATCATGCAAAGGCTTCTGAGCGTTTGCGCATTGTTAAAATAGCTCCTAATGACTTTTCTTGTGGCGTAATATTCAATCTATAACAACTACAGGAATTCAAACGGTCTTTCAAATTTAAATTGTGCTCAAGGGAACTCGCATTGCGTCCACCTAATAAGAGCATTATTAATTTAAAATAAAACGGCAGTCTGCGGACATGGTAATGGATATAAACTGCCTGATTATATTTAGTTTTGATACATAAATTTTTGCGCTCTTCGTTATCGCTGTTATGAAAATCCCGAGATCTGCTATAAAATCCCGCAAAGTACAATTTAGTTAAGTTAAAACAATGAATATACATATAAAGAGTATATCTCAAACATACATCTTCATCGCCGGGAAATCTCAACAAAACGAAAGTTGTTGCTTCATTAATTTAATTGTGATAAATTTAATCTGCGACTGCACAATATAAATAGTATCACTTCTCCAAAATACCAACGCAATCGGTGACCATAAACATGAATGAGTACATGTTGTTTTGATTCGTATTTTTGCAAATAACATATCTAAGCTGTTGCTGCAACACTTATTCCGCTCCATCGCAATGCTACCACTCAATATTTTGAGGATGTCACCGTAAGAAAAAAAATCTTAAGTCAGCGATAGCATCCCACAAAGTAATATCGGTCAGAACGCCGATTTATTTAATCTAACCTGGTGAGGACGTTATGGGGACTGCTATCGCCCAAGGTATTTTATTGTCCGAATTGAATAATAAGCCGACCCCGAAAAAATGAAAATTATCATACTCGCTCAGCCCAATAAAACGCCCCCCCCCCCCCCCCCAAAATAAAAATCAGGCCAAAAATTTGGGTCTAGAAAAGCGACTTATTCACAGGGAAAGTCTTGAGGCTTGAATTTGTGGATATTCTTTATTGTGGGTATAATCTCCTAGGAAAACAAGAATTCCCGCATTTTACGGAACAAGCACTGTCGGTAATTTGTAAGAATTAGGTTCTTATTAATACATATTAGATGAAGATGACATCAATACGTTTTTATAGTTCACCAAATGGTAGAATTCGCAGCAAAGAATATTTCAGGCACAGCTTTGCTTAAAAATTATCATCACTCGAGGACGGCCTTGATATTGACTTAGATCAAATCGTATCGATCGAGAGTGCTTTCCCCGCATTTGATTGCTGTTTGAAGTCTGAGATATGAATGACTCTAGCTAATATCTGTTTTCGGCTTTCGGAACAACAAAATAGGAATTGTGATCTGTTATCTTTGGAGTCGCACATCTTCTATTAATAGATATTTCTGTCAACAAGTCCCCTGCCATCGGCTATTTCGACACAGTGTATTGGAATCTAAGCTTACACTACGATGATGTAGTTTGTCTGAAAACTGTGCAAAATTCCGAGCAGTATTTTATGAAATATGTAAATCAAAAATGGGACTTGTTAAATGACTCTGTGCAGTTAATTCTCTTGTTGCAATTTATGGGTATAAACTCCGTGAACTGAAGGCGGTTTCGTTTAACCTTTCACAAAACTAGTTTTCCCATTTCGAATTTTTTTTTTGCACTTCTGATTTAACTGTTCACAACAATGGTATTCTACTAAAGCTTGCAGAATAATATAGGATTTCTGCAGGTTCACAAAGTTTAGGAACCACTTCATTATAGTCACTGAATCATTGCTTAGCATGAGTTAAAATCCTAATCTAATACAACCAGGCATTACTTTGTGAGTTGAATGAATCTTATAAGACTATAGTCTAATACTTATGGGGCTGAATTCAGTCAAGCATCAACCGATAACTTTTTCTTGATGTAAGAAATTGTAAGTGTTGTTTCAGAGATAAGATGGACAATAGCAGACTCTGTAATGTGTGCCAGTCGCGTATCCAATTTACATTTTGGAACAGATGAGCATCAGTCGACAAGTCTGTTCAAAGAGTTCAAGATGGATAAACACATATGCCTTGCTCAGTGGTGTTTTGATCGACGATAAATTCTACTGAAGTTGCCATGAACGGTAATAAAGTCTATAAATTCTTCGAACGTATCCATAATCTGCCATCGCGAAATAACAATACCTGCAATTCATAAATATTTTAAATTTTATTTGTATATTACTGTTCACTGTCAAAGTCTATATTCTGAGTCTTAATTTATCATATCAATATCTAGTAACTAAATAAATTTTGTGCAATTCAAGTCGAAAAAATATTGCCAACTTTTTAAAAATTCCATCCACACGGAGACACATGTGTGTATGGTAAATAAAATTCAATGCCAGAATGCTCAGGACACAGTAACTTGAATACAAAAAATAATATCTTTACAAGGTTTTTTTTTCAAAATTTGAATCCATCAATGTGGCGGGAGAACTTTAACTATTCACTTATTCTACTGTCTCATCGCTGCTGTGGTAAATTTTTAATTCACCTTATTCGTTTGCGGTTTTGCAACGTAGATGTGCATCTGTGGACATACTAAACAAAACGAAATAACAGAAGTTACACACGAATAGCGGGTTACATGAAAGATGTAGTTTTTTTATCACAAATTATCACAAAACCATTTATTCTAAAATACAGATACTCTGTGTCCGGAAAATTAATACAATTTGTAACTAGCCAACACGTACACAACTTCATTCGCCGAAACATAGGGACTTTGAAATGGATGGGCATTTGTGATAACTGTTTTTTTTTCTTCCAGTTCCATGTTTTAGTTTGACCTATTCAGTTTACTTTTCTAACTTTCGGCGTTTGAAATTTCTCGCCTAACTTGAAGTATTACAATATATATATATTTGTTACCGCGGGGTGTCCAAAAAGTTTTGCCCGATTTTATAGTAACAGCAAATGTAATTTTAAATATATTTAATTATATGATAAATGAGAACTACAAGCACAATAAGAACTATTAATAAACGAATAATCAAATGAAAAGATGTAAGGTTACAACAATGTTCAAACAGGTCATCCAGACTGTTCAAGTTGTTACCCGTGTTCAATACAAGAAACTAATCGTGCACAAACACTGTGACAAACCTTTTGGCGTAATTTAATATCAATTAGGGCAATTTCGTCAGCAATAACTCTCTCTGTGCACAATGTCTTTAAGAACGCCCCATTAGAAAAAGTTCATTGGAGATAAATCAAATGGCCCACGTCGACCAATTCATTTGTCATTAAAGTTCATGTCAAACCATTCAAGAATACAATGTGCATAGTGTGCTGGAGCACCATCTTGTTGAAAGTAAGTGTCTTCTTGTGGCTGTACTTGAGGCAAGAAACAGGTTTGAAGCATGCTGCAGATTGAGAGAGAATGCATACGTGCAAGTCATCGATACCTGTGGCGTTTCGACGGGTATATTGACGATAAGAATCGAATATTTACATGAACGTTTTTGTTTTCATCTTTTAAATACAAAAGACACAAATAAACAACCATTATAAACAAAACAGATGTGAGAAAAACTTGTTTAGTGGTCCAGACCGTGGACACATTCCGTGCGGCCCACAGAACAATTTTAGCGTGTAGCCTACTGCAGGGAGTTCTCGACTTACGACGTTGTTACGTTCTCTAGTCGCGGTGTAACCCGAATTTCAGTGTAAGTCGGAACATTATACTGTACAGTACATAAAATACTCTATACGTATTGTACTGTATTGTAAAGTAGGGTACTGTAATAAAATGTACAAATATGGCAAAAAAGTACTTTATTAAAATAACAGAAAACAATTCCATATCAAAGGAATAAAAGCAAAATACTGTACAGTACAGTAAGCTCGAAACAGCGTAAGTCGCGACCGTCGTAACCCGAGGACTCCCTGTATTGCACTAAATATGAAAAATTACACACCAATGCTGAAGGAAACAACAACAGCAATGCTTGAATAGCACTATAGCTGGTTCTGCACAATTCCTTTGAACGACTTGCACATCGTAAACAAGAAATCAAATAATTTTAAACAATTGCCTGTTCAGCGCACCCCCTTTCACATTGTTCACCATTTTTATCACTGGTGCTAAAGTTAATCAGAAAGTTTGCATCACAATGCAAACCAGTGGATCAAACAGTGCAAAAATATCACATGAGGAGCTACTTCCATGACACGAACTCTAAAACCAGACTTTAGTCCTAACGTAGCTCGGCCCCATCGATAGTGCAGTGTATTAGACTTTCCCATTTTGAACAATGTTGCTTGAAAAATGGCATTCACGATTTGAAATATGTTACCATTTTAAGTTGTTGCTTTTAATGCCGCAATCATCAAGAACTCCTCGTTCACGCCTTCATTTCCTCCATGTCGCACAAAAATTAGTAACTGAGCACAGTTTGTTACATCTGTAGATTCGTCAAGTTGAATTGCGAATCCATATTTCAATCTCCAAATATCACTAATCACGTGCTGAAAAATATCCACCGACATTTCCCCAATTTTTCCTTAAACTGTATTAGGCATTATTAGTTGTTTCATTGATTCACCTTCAAAGACAATGTAGGCCTACTATTTCTTTTGCAGCAGGTAGAAACATCCCAGACTGGGATGGAAATGTGACATCTTGGGGAGTTCTTAAACTCTGATCTTCAAATTATGGAAAATATGGAAGATGAATGACCTAATTTAGTGGAAAATGATTTATAAGTTTATATGTTATGTTTACTAATCGTTTTGCGATATTTGTTTTTTATTCGAGAAAAAGAAATTTTTTCAAGTTCTTCTGATGCAGGTAAGCAGAAAGTACATGTACAAATGGCTAACATCCTATCAAAACTATATACAAAAATTTCAACAGTTCCAAAAGTAGCCCAAATAACCCTATATCCAATTCAATCAAATTTTCAAACCTACATTTCGAAATACGGCATTCGTTGTTCTAAATCGGCGCACTGCCTATCGATATTACTTGCCATACTGTTTATATCTATTGCAGGACAACTATACTTAATATATATATATATATATATATATATCTAATACGGTAGTTAAGTAGACATACCGTGCTAAAAAAGCGACAGTTATGTAGACGGAAAAATTGGGTAGACATTTTCCTGTCCGCTTAATTATTCCACGTTCCATAATTAAAACGTTTTGCTATTTTTTGCTCAAATCTCTTTCTCTCTGATAAAACAGTATCAAAAAACAATATGTTCTTTCAATATTTTTAAAATATCTGCATATTTTTGCCAACTTTAAGGGGACAGTAGTTCTGCTGGTTTATAATCAACGGGTATAATTTTCGTACACTAAGCGGACATTTTGTTTACGCGAAAATCTTTTAATTTTTCGGTATATGTCTTTACGATTTTTGGAGAGTAGGATTGATAATTTTGATACAATAACCAGGCAGAACATGAAGATCGTTCGTTCTGTTTTTTGCAATATAAGCTCAATAAACTGAAAAGGACCTCAATTCACAACTCCGTACTAAAGAGGCTTTGTGTCGCAATAGTAAAACTGTCGGGTTTGCCGAGAACTTTACCTACCACGTTTGCCGTTTTGTTCGCAAGTAACCTGGACGCCGTGAGGGGATCGGGATCTTCATGAGCGCGGGATTGCAGAAATTTAGATAAAATAGAACAGTTGTGTTTGGAGAAGCGATCCAAGTCTTTTGTGTCAGGTGTTATCAATTACCCAGTGAGTTGAAGTCGAGTCATAATAACTTGAAACAAGGTTTTCAACGTCACCGAAGAATGCTGCTGGAAATCATCACTTATCGGATAAGGTGATTAGTCATAACGATTTTTAATATTAGGGCTACTATATTATATTCCTAAGTGATTCAAGAGTCTTGCTGCACACTAACACAATTATATTTACTATGTATGTCTGAAGGAGTCTGATCTTGGTCAGACGAAACGTTACAGAAATATAATTGTGTTAGTGTGCAGCAAGACTCTTGAATCACTTAGGACTGTAGGATAGTTAGCTTTACTCTTGCTACAGCATCCTTGCACTATATGCATACGGATCCGCCGACACAAAAGCATAGAAGAAGGATAAGTAGTTAGTCTTGCAGAAACCAAATCATTAGCATATATTTTTGTTTTTGAGATTGTTCACTTATTCCTGATTATCAAAAGACTACTGATACTGTTATGCTTTTACTGGTCGTAGTTCTGATCTGACCATCAAAATATTGCTACGACTGGGTTTGCGTTTGTAAGAGTGTGTAATTCAGAAGAATTTCTAAATCCAGATGACAATACAAACGAAGATTGTGAAAATTCAATGAATTCAAATTTTTCTCGAAACAGAAGGAGATACGAGAAGCGAGTGGTTGACGCCACTTTATATAGGTTTGTATAGCTTTGTATAAATAAAAATATCTAATACACCGCTTCATATTAGATTAGAATATTTTATCTTCGGAAAACAGTTTTAAAGAATTGCATTGCTAGCAATTTTGTTTTGTGATTTGGCACATATCCCTGTGTTATTTTATCATCCTCATCTAGTTATTTACTGGGCTGTATTTTTTGTTCACATGTAAGTGACTCTCCAACGAGATGGCCTACGTTTCAGAACTTGGCAGACGGAAATGCGGGTAGTGATTCGGAGAACGCTGTGCCAGGAGGTGATTAAATTAGTTTGCTATGCTTGTTTTTAATTAAACACGGTATCTCAAATTGATACCAATGAATGGTAATAAACCAAATCATAATATCAATTGTAGCCCATCACAAATAGCGCAGCTATCTACGAATAATTGTAGTGCACCGTTTAAAAACACTGTTTGGTGCTCCCGAAGTATGCGAACCAAGATGGCGGACATCGGAACGTAACATGGGTAACAGGTTAGGGTTAGGCGATAATTTTTTTCCAGTTTTCCTTATTTTAGTCCTATTATCAGTTCGAAGACTAGCCAAGAGCCTCCCGTAGTATTTATACCTAAAATTATGGCCTAACCCTAACCTAGTACACATATTACATTCCGATGTCCGCCATCTTGGTTCGCATACTTCGGGAGCCCCCACTGTTTTATTTGAGTAATAATGCAATTCCCCATTTCAAACACTTCGTTTGTTCGGTCAATCAAGAGTACCGTAATTTTGAATTGGACTAGAACACTGTGATGATGTTTTGTGACTTATGCATGTATTTTTGACCAAAGTTTCAGATTAGTCAACAGACTATACCGCACCATCTTCAGAATCACTTTCAATAAGCAATGTAAGTGACTTAAAAGAAAATCATATATACGGAAAAGAAAAGGGCTGTAAATCAATTCCAAAAAAAGCTTCTAAATAAACGTGAACCAGAAAAGAAACGACGAAAAGAAAAATAATTGCACGGCTTTGTATATCTTGCGAGAAGTTTATTGTAAAGCTTCAAGACATCTCTGTATAATTCATAAAGATGAACCGACAGTGAGCATAATCTTGTCTCTCCTCAACAACTTAATCTAGTGGGCATATCCACATTCGTATACATACTTGGCATACATTTTTACTATTTAATTATAAATTCAAAATAACAATCATGTTTTTGTATTCCGAGTTGGTGCAAAAATTTTAAATAAATTGTGCAAAGATTCTAAATTGATATCGGGGTTGAATAATTTCATGTTGATCGCTTGTATAGTTGACTGTATAATCACTGCTATACTTAGGCGCGCCTTGATAGGTAGACATTTGAGTTATAATTGGTGTAATGTTTCTCATTTTAGTTGACATGGCAAAATTTCATTTCGCATTTATAGGCCCCACTGAAAACGCCACTTAATTGAACATTTGAGATATGTTGTGCGTAATGGTTCTCGATATTTTTTTTAGAGAATTCGGTGTTTTAATTACATACCTTCTGAAATGGTCGGATGGTTGAAATTTTTTTTGAATGCTTCCTAATATTATTGTCATTCCAAAATATCATTTTGCATTTACATGACACACTTACGTAGCTGAGTAGATGACGATTTGCGATATATTTTCTGTATTGTTCCTCAATATGGTTTCAAAATTTTGTTTTATAATATTTGTCACTCTCAAGTTATCGGATAGGTGAACATTTGAGATAAATTTTGAGCAATTTTCCACAACATCAAAATATAATTAGTATTCCAAATTTCGTATTTTAGTTATATTTCACACACTAAAGCGGTCGAATAAGTTGACATTTGAGATATATTTTGTGTAAGATTTCTCAAAATGATTTCAGGAATTGGTTTCAATAGTTGTATGCTACACTTAGGTATTCGGACATTTGAGATATATATTTTGTGTAATGTTCTTCAATATCATTTCAGAATTTGCATTGTGATCGTTTTATGCCACACTTAGGTGGCCGGATAGGTAGACATTTGAGATATACTTTGTGTAATGTTTCTCAATATGATTTCATAATTTTCATTGTGATTGTTTTATGCCACACTTAGGTGGCCGGATAGGTGAACATTTGAGATATACTTTGTGTAATGTTTCTCAATATTATTTCAGAAATTTCATTTCAATTCTTGTATGCCACACTTAGGTGGCCGGATAGGTGGACATTTGAGATATACTTTGTGTAATGTTTCTCAATATGATTTAAGAATTTTCATTTCAATTCTTGTATGCCACACTTAGGTGGCCGGATAGGTGGACATTTGATTTATACTTCGCATAATGTTTCTCATTACGATTTCGGAATTTTCATTTTAATGTTTTATGCCACTCTTACGTGGCCGGATAGGTGGACATTTGAGATATACTTTGTGTAATGTTTCTCAATATGATTCCAGAATTTTCATTTTAATGCTTTATGCCACACTTAGGTGGCCGGATAGGTGGACATTTGAGATATACTTTGTGTAATGTTTCTCAATATGATTCCAGAATTTTCATTTTAATGCTTTATGCCACACTTAGGTGGCCGGATAGGTGGACATTTGAGATATACTTTGTGTAATGTTTCTCAATATGATTCCAGAATTTTCATTTTATTGTTTTATGCCACACTTAGGTGGCCGGATAGGTGGACATTTGAGATATACTTTGTGTAATGTTTCTCAATATGATTCCAGAATTTTCATTTTAATGCTTTATGCCACACTTAGGTGGCCGGATAGGTGGACATTTGAGATATACTTCGTGTAATGTTTCTCAATATGATTTCAGAATTTTCATTCCAATTCTTGTATGCCACACTTAGGTGGCCGGATAGGTGGACATTCAAAATATATTTTGTGTAATATTTCTCAATATGATTTCAGAATTTTCATTTTAATCCTTTATGCCACACTTAGGTGGCCGGATAGGTGGACATTTAAGATATACTTTGTGTAATATTTCTCAATATGATTTCAGAGTTTTCATTTTAATGATTTATGCCACACTTAGGTGGCCGGATAGGTGGACATTTGAGATATACTTTGTGTGATATTTCTCAATATGATTTCAAAATTTTCATTTTAATTCTTGTACGCCACATTTAGGTGGCCGGATAGGTGGACATTTGAAATATATTTTGTGTAATATTTCTCAATATGATTTCAGAATTTTCATTTTAATGCTTTATGCCACACAGGTGGACATTTGAGATATACTTTGTGTAATGTTACTCAATATTATTTCAGAATTTTCATTTTAATGCTTTATGCCACACTTAGGTGGCCGGATAGGTGGACATTTGAGATATACTTTGTGTGATATTTCTCAATATGATTTAAGAGTTTTCATTTTAATTCTTGTATGCCACACTTAGGTGGCCGGATAGGTGGACATTTGAGATATACTTTGTGTAATATTTCTCAATATGATTTCAGAATTTTTATTTTAATTGTTATATGCCACACTTAAATGCCGGTTAAGTGGACATTTGAGATATATTTCGTGTAATGTTTCTCAATAGGGCTGGTGTTCATTTTTCAATTACGTGCCACATTTGAGTGACCGAATAGATGAACATTTGAAATCGAATTTGTGTGATTTTTGTCTTCATTAATAACATACCAGAATTCCCATTTACAATTATTTGTATAACTTAAAAGGCCGGATAGGTGGACATTTGAGATAAAGTTTGTGACACTCACAACATAGCATCTGTTTAATCTATATGTTACACCATAGGGTTGGAATATGCGAACATTTGTGATATGCTCTGTGTATTTCTCAGTTTCAAATATATATTACGTTTGAATCAATTTGTTTCGATTTGTCTACCTTCACGTTGCATTTTGAGTATTTTTTGACATGGAAGATTATTTCCTACACCAAACACAGTGCCTCTCCCTTGCACAAAATACTGAACATTGAAAAAAAATGCTATTTTCTGTGATAAATAATGCTAAATGGTTCGCATTCATCGGAAATTAAAGCGAGGTCATACGCTTTAAAATGCGTAATAAAATAAAAGCAGCATCATTTATGTAGACATCCAGGGCGACATATAAGAGGGGTCCGGCTTAGTGCCGAAATAGGCTAAAACATTTGGTGGTCTGAATTAAGTGGACGAATTAAGCGGACAAAAATTTTATATCTGTTATCGAGAGGATTGTGTTGACTCTTTTTCTCCGTAGTTGTCAACGGTTCTCGCGCTCTCCAAGTACGTATTTAAAAACAATGATACGGACACAGGAACGACGTCCGCTTAAGTACTGCAATTATGGCAGGTCCGTTTAACTACCGTAATAGAGTTATATATATATATATATATATATGTGTGTATTATTAAGATATGAATATGACTGTATATTGAGCGAAATACTCTGACAAACCTGCTGCTTGGTATTGTTAAAAACCGTGAAATTTTAGAGAGGGAAACGCGAACGTCCAACTGAATGTCGGAAGATACAAAACGTGATGTCTAAGAATAAAAAAGATACTCTCTACAGCACGCCCCGGAAAAAATGGCGGAAACGAATCTACGAAAAAACGAAAGGTAAATCCACTAAATATAAGTTGATGTCTTGTGGATAAAACATTCATTTTACATTATATTTGTTGATTGTATACATTTCAAATCGCCTATTCCAGCCGTAATGAAAGATTTACATTCAAATTCTATACGACAACAAGCATATCAAATTTTTGCAGAACGAAATGAGGATAATAATAAAAAATAAGACTAAAATGTTATCATCGCCTCTGAGAAACATCACAACATCTAAATGGCCAGTAACTGCGTCAAGAGCAATAAAGAAACTTTTTTTTATGTTTCAAACAGATTTTTCTACTTATTCGATGAGCCTGCGTTTGTTTCACATTTTTTTTTATGTGAAAGCGTCTTCAGTGGAACTACCATTAATTTGCTTCCAAAAATCTTGCACATCACCTTAGCCCTACCGGCGGCAAACATATTTCAAAGCAATATAGAGACGTCTGATCTTCTGCGGATATGACTTGCTAAACTATTTAAATATTTACTTATTTTATCCGGGTGAAAAGACTAGAAACTTGACAAGTCGCCGAATCAATGATTGCCCAACAAATTTTTCTTACGCCACCAAACGGTATTTGTGTTTTCGGTGATTCATTGTTGCTGGGTGTTTTGGTGAACTTAACGTACTCATGGGCATATGGTGATGCACATTATTGGACCAGGGCTTCATATATTAATCTAGAATTATTCTTGCGACTTGATAAACTATTATTAAAACTTGCTTGTAACATTAGTGAGATGAAAGTTAGCTATAGCTAAAGATGCCCTCAAAGAAATAGAAATAAATGAAGATTGTTATATTTCGTGGCATCATTACGTTAGAACTATCCACTCGGGTTATTTTTAGTTCTTATTTTTTGAATTATCAAAAGAGTTCATTTCATTTGTATTTTTTCGATAAATCCTCAAGTTACAGTAATATACATGATGGTTATGGTAGGTTTTTCTTATTTAAATCAATGCAGGACGAATTTGTGTTCGTGTAAAACCAAGAGCTATCGAAATTCTCTGATTTTGTTGCTGTTTGTCTGATATTTTTGCGGCACGCAGGCATGGCCCCCGTAGGATTTAGTTGTGAGTGTACTTGTATCATTATTGAATTCATACTTTGACACCTGCAGTGTACATTTACCGCAAGAGAATTAATATGTTTGCTTTATGTTATTAACTAATTAGAATTAGAACTACGAAATTATGCGCACATTATTTGAAGGAAAATAGACACAGCGCACAATATGAGCTTATGAGCGTACTCTGAAATCAGCAATCAGTTAAGTGAAAGTCTCAAAACTGGGGGCATTCATGTGAATCAACAAACAAGACTTTCCGATAGTTACATGTAGACGTGGTAACGCAACCTTAGCGTTTTTAGCAAGAAAGCTTCACTATAGTCTCGTTGGCTGTAATTTATTAGACAGCATTTATCGGAGGATCCTTCAAACAATAACGAAAAATTTCCATATAGATTTTGCACTTTCAGCATATTCTCGCTTTAAATGATTGGGATGTAGTTTCAATGGCTGATTCAGATTAAAGGCTATGGTGACGGCAACATCGCATATATATATATGTTGATTGGAATGGCATTAGAAATTCTCAATATCAAAGTATAAAGATTGATCGAGGATTCTCATCGAGACAATTTCTGAAATTTGTTTACCATTAAATGCGCTGTCATACACTTCACGTAGCTCTAAAAGCAAGTTTTTATCGTCGCAAAAGATATTTATCCGCTTTCTCTGCGAAATTTGGTTATTACAATGATTTTAATCGTAAATATATACTACTACGTTTTAATTCTTTACTTTTACCGGATAAAATGAAAATATAATTTTTAGGGAAACAAACAACATACCACTATTTCTACTTCATCACCAACACCTATAGAATTTAGAATACCAACATATGGATTTTATGAATAACTCTTCATAAAATGTCATCATGATTGACGTTTATATACATTTTTTTCTTCAATAAATGATGTCACAATTTGCACTCAACGTTTTTGTGCGATTACGTGCATATTCTCAAACGACTTCCTTTTGCGTAACCAATTGACTAAACTATTTGCAAGCGCTCATATCAACGGTTGGTCCGGACGTCCCGGACAGATATTTGTTGCTATACGCATGGGAGCGCATCTCGTGATATGCTCTGTTATTGCCCTCGCTTCACAAATTCCAAAATTTGACTGAAGATATTTTGTAAATACTATTGGATAGAACCGATTGTCATTTATCTTGCTTACTTTGCTGCAGTATTTCACCCAATCAACTAACTTAATTCATTTTGGAGAGAGATTTAGATTTTGGTGTATGATGCGTAGGTATATTTTCTTGAATAAAGCGTAACCCAATTTTTCTCAAAAAAATCATATTTTGGACTTACATGAAATTTACCAATGACTAAAAATTCTGAATTTGATTTATAACGGTAACGGTAACATCTTAACCAGATAGCAGGGTATAAATGGTCACGATTCACTCACGAACAAATTGATTTACAAACTCCAACAGTCACGTCACCGTTTCAACGGCCTACTCAGCAGAACGAACCATATCGTAATATAATAGGTGCGCTGGGTACGCTTCACTTGACAATTTAAATAAAGCAACCAATGGGCTTTGTTGGACCTTCCCAGCCATGTTTGCGTTTGATAACGCACCTTACTTTCGGTCACAAACGCTTAAAGATAATATTGGGACTTAATATAAAAAAATGAAGAGCGTTGGTTCTGTTAACTGGCTTTGTGACCTGTATTTGTTGGCTTCAGTAGCAGCGTAAAATATTTAAAAAGCGTTCCGCGTATTTAATTAAAAGAAGTGGGTATTGGAGATTTAAATGTAGCCACCGAGATCACTCAATATATCTGGATATATGTATGTGTGTGTGTGTTTGTGTATTCACGTACTTTACTTGATAGCAGAATACGCCGATGGACAGCACTGGTGTAGTTAGAGATTGATCAGAATTGTTAATTGGTTATCACTCATTTTAAACTGATTCAGATTTTCAACTGATGAAAATAAGCAAATATTTTGTCAATATTGCCTATATGATTACAACGATTTAGCCTTGTTTCTGAACAACGGCCTTCGTGACATTGTTACTTTTGAAGTGAGGATAGCATTGGATCTTCATATTATGCTGTCGTACCGTTTCCTACATAGAAATATTGGCCTCATCCTCGTAAAATTGCTAGTTTACTCATGACATACCTTTAATCTGAACAAAGCTTATATAGTTTTAATTTCCCCACTTGTGTTGTTTGTGCCAAATAGTTTGATGAATGGTGAACTCGTTGGCCCATCTTTTCTTTTCTGCTTCAGGCTCGCAATAATTTTTCAAGTAATATTCATCTCTCATGAAAAAAAAACTATAGTCAATGGCGAAATAAAAGTAAACTACGAATTATTGTGCATTCTTAATGGTGGAACTCTTTTAGAATAAAATTGTCTGTGAATCAATGATTCTCAAATATTTAAAATATGTCATTCGAATCATGCGGGTATATTTATTCATTAGGTTGTTTGTGCAATATACATGGCGCTAAAAGAAGCGTCCACAAAAATGCGATGCGTATAGGCGGAAACGAGGCAGTGCATAATTATTTACACAATAACGGAAAATTTTCCATCCGGATTTTCCACCTCCACATATTTTTATGTTGTGAACTAAGACTTAGTATTTGCAAAGGTACTCTTCCCTAAACGATATTCAAACAGTTTCTGGTTCATGAATTTTCTCTAATCATAAACATTCTCGAAATAAAGTATATCATCACGAAATAATTATTACTCTTGATATTTGTATCTAAAGAAATGTACAAGAATCTTCTAACTTTCTTGATAGGCCACGTAATTGTGCACGGCGTTGTGCTATTATCAATATTCGATATATATTACCAGTCGACAGTGGTTGAGAATATTCGTCCACTGCAATGGTCAATTGGTAATGCTGCTGCTACAAGACTAGTATTATTTGTAGCCGATGGTCTTAGAGCGGATAAATTCTATGAATTGAACGAGGAAAATACATCAAGAGCGCCATTTCTAAGGTAATGTGTCGCAATTTTTTTCTGCATTGTAGGGTCGAGCATCCACTATGTTCACTTTTGTTCTTTATCTCCCTATTTTATGAGTGGCTGGTTTCGGTTTAATTCAGGAGTAGGCATCAATTTTAATTAGAGCGCTCGCATTGTTACTGCATCGAATATGGAAGTAAAATCATGATTGCTTTTGTATATTTTATAACATGAAAAAAAAATGATATTATATATCTCTTGAACTTTTTACGTATTTTTAACTAGGATTCTGGGATATCTGTTTTTCAAATTGCAACATTTTTCACTTCATATATTGTACGAGAACGAATATTTCACCTCTCCAATCGCACACTGAAGAACATTTTAAAAATTACGTACTATCGGTATCGGTTAAATCGTCAATTTTAAATATCGGCATCGGCACTTTTTTCACGGTAACCGGTATTGACGAAAAGGGTGACATCGGCACATCTCTACTCTAAACCAATTTCACCTTGGATGCTAAAAATGAAGACGTGAAGAAAACGTTAGTTTACGCATTAATTAACGACTTGGGATTTAACTGACAAGAAGAAGCGTGTGATGAGCCACTAGGGTCGTGAGTTTCGCGCATGAATAGCTTCGACATTCTCGACTTGGCTTTCAAATTCTAAACCAACGTTTCCCAACCTTTTTTGGTCGCGGACTATTTTCTCACCGGCGAAAACCTCTGCGGACTCAAGGTGCATTTATTGCAACCGTACTCTGTGCGAAGAAGCAATTAAAGCAATTACGTGCTCGTTAAAAGAGCCGACTATTTATTGTATAATGGCCGTTTCCGTCGCACAATATTCAATCCATGACAACGACGAGAATATAAAATATCTTTTTATTTTAATTTAATTGTGTTCATGGTAACCCACGGTTGCGTCGACTTACGACAAGATGAAAGCATTACTTTCATCATTACAAAATGCCACGGCAATCTGCAAACATAATAATGCGAGAATGATATTGCCCGATTATATTTAGTTTTGATACATATTTTTTGCGATCTTGCGAATTTGCTATCGCTGTTAGAAAAATCCTACTATCTGCTATAAAGTTCCAGAAAGTACAACTTGATTTAGCACTTATTAAAAATATATTCAAAGTATATTAGTAAATCAAAAATACAAATTCATCGCCTTGCTTCACTATTAATTTAATTGTGGTGATTTTAATCTGCAGTTGTGTAATAAAAGCAACGCGTGGTAGTGCCCGATTATATTTTGTTTTGATTCGTATTTTTGTGAATTCGACAAATCTGAGCTGTTCGTACAACACTTATGGCGCTCCAGTACTGTACGTACCAATGTGGAGGCAGTAAAGCAAGGAATCCTAAGGAAAAATGCCCTGGTACGTGTACTACGGTAGCACCAGTAATGGGATTTATGAGATCAGCGAACCGGTAAGCCTTACTAAAAAAAACATGTAACAGAACCGGCCGAAAAACATGACTTTTGTGATGGAACCGGCTGACAAAAAATTTGAATCCCACCACTGGGTAGCACCCGAAATTTTGCGATTTGCAATGTCTAAAAAAGCGTTTTTAATCCGTTGCGGACCATAATATAACAAACCATATGGTGTTCTCTGCTTTATTTTCAGTATTTTGTATTGCCGCTTTTCAATTTAAAAAGTTTGAATTGCCACCATTGACACCTACAAAAAAAAATTTATTCCTCGTTGTTCGAACTCGCGAGAAACACCACTAAGGTATCTATCGAAGCGTGCGCAGACTCGTGTTTTCGTCGGAAATCCGCATGTGAGTTGGGAAATCCAATCGTTTGATCAGGGGACGCGTCACCTGTTACCAAATTTTCGAATAGTAAATTGCTATTCTGATAGTTGAGTATTCGAATATATGTCCAGTCCTACTCATTAACCAGTAATTATTGTCTCGAATATTGTTATGTGAATAAACTAGCCTTTTTATTAACAGACTTATGATGACCATCTCTGGTCCTTCGCGACTTCCAGTTAATTGCAATGAAATCCGTTACTGTAACGCATAATTACTTTTTCCTATTTTGAATTTGTGTTGTGATTTCTTGCACGACGAAATAAATTTATTGTCTATTGTCTATTTTATGTTTTATGTAAATTCTAACTTAAATCGTAACTTGGCTGTTATAATATTGTTATGAGAATAAACTTGCTTTTTATATTTTATGTAAATTATAACTTAAATCGTAACTTGGCTGATAGCTAAGTTTCGCAAAAACGTTTGCAGTCCGCAGCGAATTTCTGGCTCGCTGCGGACTCATTCAAACCCTCCGCGGACTCATTTGAGACCGCGGACTCGGGTTGGGGGACACTGTTCTAAACCGATGAAGAAAGAGAAATTATATATCACAAATGGTTATGCCCTGCAGAATCGGATCCGTGTATAGTTTTGTGAGATTCGTCTTGATTTACAATTAATTTAATAGCTACAATGTTTTCTTAATCGTTGTATTAATATCTCATTGCAATATTTTAGAGACATCATTCTTCATAACGCAACATGGGGTGTTTCTCATACCCGAGCACCTACGGAATCTCGACCTGCTCATATTGCAATGCTTGGTGGGTTCTTCGAAGACCCAAATACACTGATGGCAAAATTTCAAGACAATCTGGTGGAATTTGACACAGTTTTGAACGAAAGTAGGGAAACATGGGCCTGGGGTGGTTCGGATGTTTTACCATTTTTTAACAAAGGTATGGCAATTATATAAGCGAAACGTAACTATTATTTTAAATTCAATATCTGACGCAGTTTTCTATGCGCAATATGAAGCACAAGTCCAAATCAAACCGCGAATCATTACCTAAACCGCATTTTTACCATTTGTCAAAAACTAATTCAACCCTACCAACGAGCTTCAAACTTGATAATCCCTGGTACGATGTGAAAGTAGTGAATGCTTTGAAGAACTCAATACTAGTTGGAAATACTTTGTGTACAAATAAGTGGAGGAAATCTCCTATCTTAGATACTATATATAAGTTACAGTCAGTGAAATATAAAATATTCATCGATTGTCTAATGTTAAAACTTGTTTCGTTTTCAAATAAAAAAGACTGAAGATTAGTAGAATTTCCTCTGTTCCATAAATTCTACGTGTTGTACTTTCTTCTGGTAAAATAGATGATTTAATTAATTTAGGCTCAGCCAGATCACACGTGCATGTAGACTGTCATGATTACAACGAAGGAAAACTTTCTAAATTAGATGTTTGGGTTTTCAACAAAGTAAAAGAGTTGTTTAGTAACGCAAAATCAAATGAAAAACTACGTGAGAAACTTATGCAAGATAAGATTATATTTTTCCTACACCTGGCAGGAATTGATAGTAACGGTCACCGACATCATCCTGGATCGAGGTAAAGTAGGCGTTTTGTTCGTTTTCCTGTAGAATTGTGAGTGAGCATGTATTATGGCAGATTTGAAATATTAGAATCAAGTCTTGGCTTTTTTCGTGCTGGGCAACACATAACCACCATCGCCAATTTAAAAATATAGAGTCCAGTTCAGATTGCTGATACGCATCAGTGGCCAGTTAAACGCTAACTAGTTAGGTTAGTTTTGCTGTATAGTCATAAATTTCATACCTTGTTAAATAAGAACACGCGTATACACCCCAAAGGCCAGAGAAACATCTACTATTACTTTATTTTTATTAGTTATATAGATTATATTGCAATATACTTTTGCAAGTAAAAGTCAATCTGGACGTGTGTTGCAATGAAATGGTTTCGAAAAATGAGACATTTTTGCCCCAAATTGTTAAAGGTGAAAACATACCTAACAAACTATACCTGTCGCAACTCGATTTTTAACGGCGTTTTTTTTATTTTTTATTTTGGTCCAATGAAGTCATGAATATAAGCATTGATATACTTGCAATCTCCTAAAGTTCATGTTGAATTTATGATAGAATATTTTTATTGTTCTTGTCATTCTCATGGTTTTGATTTTCGTTGATTTCATCAAATCAAAAATTCACATTTTATTTTATTATAATATTTTTACTATCATATCATCATTACTATATCATCATTAGGTTCTATCTTGAAAACATAGGCGTTGTTGATCAAGGAATCGAAGAAATTGTAGAATTGTTTAATGGATTTTACAGAAACGATGAAAAGACCGCATACATATTCACCGCCGATCATGGAATGACTGATCCCGATGGTGAACAGATAGAAATTTTTTTGAGTTTTTAATTTTGGCGCATATCTATTGATCATCCATGAGTGTAAAAAGAACGTATTGTACATAGGGGGAAAGCTAATTAGCACAAAAACTGATCAGTAATTTAATATATATTCTATTTTGGGGAATTAAAATACGTCAAATATGATTTGAAAATGTATAATAAATAGGCATGTTATGAAACATCAATTTTTTATATCATATTTATAACTCTATTTCAAGAAATTGCGGTTATTTTAAACTTGTATTTTTTGTTCTATTCCATTTTATGACACGCCGACGTGGTATATTAATTTTTCATAATCTGTCGTGCCCAAATTCTTCAATTATATTGTTACATCGATATTAGTGCAACAGAGAGTGGACGACAAACCCCTTCCTCATATGGGTGGCTTGACCCCAATCTTCGGCCCAACTTGTGCTTATGAAAACGTCGTCGTGGGGTTGGTTATAGAAAACCTGTATACGAAGGCAGTGCTAGGTAACTCCAAAATATTTGCTACAAAGGTCAAATATTTCAGGAATGAATATTACTTTAGAAACTGTTTTCAGGTGGCCATGGCGGTGGAAGTCCAACCGAAATTAAAACACCTATAGTTTCATGGGGTGCTGGAATATCATCAAAATTGGTTGAAACTGCTGCTTCCGAATTGACAAATGAGGAAATAAAAGAAACAAAGTTAGTAATAAAATATTTATTTCATTGCGGACTGACTCCATGTACTTGCTTCGATGCAAATAAGATTTGGTCAGTTTACTCTTTTTGACAATCATAAGGCGACAAAGTGGTTAACTTCGTCCACAAAAAATTAGAACTAAGTTTTTACAGTAAATATGCGCTGAGGATCACATAACACCTGGACATTTACAACGGTTTATAAACATTGCGATAACATGAGGATTTAAAACTAGCAATTTGCTGCTGAATGTAGTAATGCTTGTTGCTGTTGTAATATTGTACAGATAAAACCCAATGAACTTTTGGTTTGGTGAATGACTCCCATCTTTTTTATCTACTTTCACAGGAACTGGCGTTTGAATCCAAAGATGAGATCAGATATCTCACAACTCGATATATCTGTCATGATGGCGGCATTACTCGGGGTACCTTATCCCGTCAACTCACTGGGATCTCTTCCTATGGCATATTTGGGAGGTGGTGAGAGATTTAATGCATTGCAATCATTTGCAAGAGCATCACAAATGGTTGAAGGCTTCTTCACTAAAAAATCGTATGTTCAGAAAAATGTTTTCTATATTTGGTTCCGGAGTTTTCAAAGAAACGAGGTAAAGATATGTGATGAAATGATATTCAACATAAAGAAAGAATTAGATAATGGCAATTACGGACCAGCAATTGCGAAAAGCAAGATTCTTTTTGAGTATGCAACAAAAGGTTTACAATATTATCAATATTACCATCGAACAAACATATACATGTGCATAATTTCATCACTTTTTGGATGGATGATATTGGCGACGTTGATGGCATTTCAAGAAAAAACTTTCATTCAAGGTACTCGCACTGAAGTCGTGAAAACATCATTCGTGTCATATTTTGGACTTGTATTTGCTATATGCATTCTATTAATTAGACTGAGGATGTTTGAAGTTACCTGGTCGTATTACATATATGTCATCATGCCCGTTTTAATCTGGTACCTTGTTTCCACAAAGATCCCATACTTACTAAGTGCAATGAAGATTCTTCAAAAAGGTCGCGTTGGTGTTGCGTTCTTCATCCCATTAATGGCTGCATGTCTTTACATATCAACAGCGGGATTCTTCAAGAAAAACGTATTTATCGTTTTGACCATTGCTGTAAGCATTATCGGTTTGATAACTACAAAATCCAAAAATCATTTGGCAAAAGTAGCGTGGGCTGCACTGTGTTTATGCTTGCTTCCATTTTTCAGATTTACTGAAATTGTTAGATCTGACGAAAAGAAAGACTTAGTATTTCTTGGGGGAATATGTGCGTCATTTTTGTGTTTCTGTCTGCGTATTTTACACTCGAAACGAAAACGCAAAGAGCCTGCAGTGCCAAGGAGGACTATTGTTTTATGCTCTTATATTACATCGATATTGCCTTTCACATCGGGATTTTTTGGATATTTTGCACCTGTGTATTCAACCCTATTGGCAAGAGGAATTTTATTTTTCAGTTGGGTAATACCCATTTTCTGTAGCACAGATGTGTACGACCGGTTGGTAACTCTTCACATATGGCATTTATCATCTTACATACTGTTAAGCCAAGGTCATGATGCGCTATTCTACGTTATATGGACTGCGCTACTTCATACTTGGATAATTTTGGAAGACGAGCAAAGTATCTTGAAAATGACCAACATTACTCAAGACAAAGATATTGAAAACGTGGATCCCGAAGCAGGTAAGTGTGCGCAACTAGACTCAAATGTGAGCCGTCTTCTGAATTCTTCTTGAGAATTTTCAATTTTTGAAAGTTTGATAGCGTTAGTGCTTTCTTTAACACAGGGTGGTCCAAACCCAGGTCCACGGGCCACATGTGGCCCGCAGCATCATTATCTGTGGCACGCGTCGCATTTGCTGGAGTGTAATCTAAAATCGCATTTGGTGTTTGTTCGTCGTGTGTAGTGTCACGGCTAGCTGAGGCACATAGCGACGTCGAATAATGTACTTGCTTTGTCAAATTGTTCACTGGCTTCCTATCTTTTTGGTGTGAATATATGCTATCAATATAATACCTAATTAAGATAAATAAATATTGATGGTATGCCCTAACAATATAATTCCTTTCGGCTTCGGTGGCATTTTGCAACCAGTCTAAACAGTATTCCAAAAAAGCTTCTCATATGCCAGAAAAGATAGTAATTACTCTTCTGTACTTTACATTTGGTAATCAATCAATTTGCAGTTATGACAAAAATAATCTAAAACGCCATTTTTTTAATCATGGGAGCAATGAGCATTTCCATTTTAATGGATTTTGTTTTAAGAATCCTATCGATGTTCGAAAGCACTTACATTTGCGGAATCAACTTCTCTGTTATTAAGTTTTTAAAATCTTATACCTAATGTAGATATAGAAAGACTTTTGCACGTTTCATTGATAATATTGGTGTTTTTTGCATGTTTTAGCTTGATACATGACAAATAATGATTGAAGTATTTGCACAGTGTTTGTTTTGTAATGCCCTGTTTACCAACTTTGGCAATATCGTGGCCCGCGAACAATGCAATAATAATTTTGTGGCCCTCGAAGCCGACAATCTTGGACCACCCTACTCTAACATATTTCGTTTGATATCCAATTGTTTCAAAATTTGAATCCCACACAATTTATCAGATTTCCCATTACCACTGAGGTTTACTTTGGCTTGAATACATAAGTACCCGAAAAACTGAAAAATTTCAAACAACGCAAAAACTTGTGGCATAGTATTTTGCCAGAATTTGAAAACATCTAGAATTTTTTTCATTTAACTGCATACCTAGTTGTATTGAAACACGTTATACCATTTGACACACTTTTCTCACAATTTGATTTTGATTTGCTTAGTTCAATTTTAACTTCTTTTGCAGAACTTCGTTCAGAAAATACCCGGAATCAAAATTTATCAGGCCTGGATGACGTTCGACGCACATGCATTGTTTTATTTTTTCTTCTAATCGCATTCTTCGGCTTATACAGCGTTGAATGTTTCAATCATTTCCGTGTTCGAAGACTTCCGTTTCTACCTATTACCAACTCATTTACGTTGCTTTTATTAAACTTTTATAAGGTAAAGCTTGAATGTGTTTGATGTTTTCTGAATCACTAAAATGTACAGTATAAAGGTTCGCATCTTAATAATCTTCTGTTTTTATCCGAATTCGCCATCTGAAACGTGCCAAATTCATCGCATATAAAATTTGCAAAAAACTGACCTCTATTTTGTTTATTTTCTATTCATTATATTCAATTTGTGACCACTTGATTCCTAGTCAAAAATGAAACCTCAACCTCCGCAAAGATAAGGCAAACGCACAAGTTTCGGAGAACGTGGGCGCTGAGTACACTCGGTATCTCAGATTAGATGAATTCTATTCAAGTTTTGGTTGTTAGCATAAACTCTTGCAGTCAATTGTGTCGGGGCGTGTTATTTTGCTTCGATTTTTTATGAAATGATATTGATTGGTAACAAAAAAAATTTATGTCATTTTATACATTATATTTATTTCAGATATTCCTTCACTACTTAACTGTAGGAATCTCTATTTGCGCTATTGCCTCACTAAGAAAAACGTCTGGTTTTGTTAACTGGTATATCGCAGTAATATTGAGTGATATATTGACGGTATACTTTCTGTTTCAAGTGAGTATTCATACTGTATACCTACACTATCTATTTAGTTTTATAAACTAGATATACAAATGAAAATTCTTGCTCAAATGATACTATTATACTACTAATTTGAGGACAACTGTAATTGTAATTGATATTCATACCGTAGCTCTCAAGTTCAAATTTGATGACCCCATAAAACTACACAAATAATCATTACTCATCTCGTTTAATTTTCTTATTCAGGTGAGAGATACCGGATCGTGGGCCGAAATTGGATTTTCAATTGCAAATTTTGGAATTGTTATAGGACTACCTATTGGGCTTCTTATATTGGTTTTAATCGGGAAAATGCTTCTATCTATAAGACTACCAAAACGACTACAGCTTTGAGGATATTTCTTCAACTAATATTGTGGGTGATTTCTATGCTATGGGGATACCTGAACAGTTTTTCAATTCACCAAATTTCTAAAATCTATCTGTTTGTTTCCAACAGCTATTTATTCACAAAACAAAATCAGATCTCTGCTCATCATCCGAAAATACTTGTTAATAATTAAGAACGAACGGAGATAGTTTAACACAACATTTCTTTATTGACAAAAATTTGGTATGGTTCATTAGTTCATTGGGCAGTAAAACAATATAGATGGAATTAATTTGAATTGTTAGTTAGTCAGATTTCTAGCACTGAATATCATTGATTCGTGAATAAATTTTTGTTGTCTTTATTTTTATTCGGAAATTTGCATGCACTGTGTGTTTATATATATATACAATTTTTTTTTATCTTTTAATACACAAAAAGGTCGATATGACGTTTAATACATTCTGGGATGGTCATATTAGCTAATAGAGAATACTACAACTGACTAGATCCCCAGTATTGTACGAGGTGTCTGCTGATGGTATGGGTCGTCATAATCATTATTATAAGCAAGAAAAGCATGCCAGAATCAACTTTCTGCAATACTGATTAGTAGCTTGGTATTATCGACGCATAGTTTGGCATCATTCATATATTGGCGTACAGTGTTATATTATGACACTGTACCAGGAATGTTTGGCACATTGGCAGATGTAACTATCTAGTGCAAATTACTTGTGAAGCCTGCATTGTACAGACCATCACTATTAGACTCAATATTTGCCGAACAAAAGAGTTGTCTATGCCTACAAACGAAAACGATATTTCATCTTTCATGGTGATTTTTTGGGAGCAAGAGAAGATTTGATCTAAACTGGTTGGATTGAGAACAGCTCAATGTGTGCCAGTGGTTCCGAAACTGGGGGTAATTACCATAAAAGGGGTGGGTTGAAAAATTCTGGGAATTATTCAGACGTTCTTTGTCTTAACACTTTTTTTGTAATCCCTGTCTATTTATTTCTCTTCGTAAAAACTGGACCTACAGTATGCGCATCTAGTCAATGGGTATTCTAGTCAGCTGCGAGGTTAGTAAATACATAATAACGATACTTCGCCGTATAGATTGTAGGCTAAAGTGCTAAGCGAGCGCAAGTTTAGCATCTTGGAGTTGGAATGGAAGGTAAATAAGTGTCATAACTGAAAAACTGGATTTTTTAGATTTCGTGACGATTCAATTCTCAAAATCGACTCGGCAAAGACTGGGCTGGGTTAGCCACTAACATGCATATATCTCATTCTTTTCAAAAAGAAATAATTTGTGTTTCGTCTGATATCAGTTTGAGAAAACAATATACCTCTTTTAAAACATCGAACGGCAAAAATTTATAATTAATACAATAAATTAATTAATAAGTAAATTATTTATTTTTATAGTATATATATATAGTATTCTCCGCAATGACATCCATTAAAAGAATATATCGAAATAAGAACACGATTAGCAATGATATGATATACTGTCTGTCGTCTCAATTGCTTAGTTCGTTAGATATCGTGGAAATAGTGCCACCAATCCTACAGAGATTAAATCGGGATGATGTTCTTGTGTATGATTCATACCTTATTGTTGCTTTTATATTTGATAAATTGCGTAATTGATCTCTTGGTAACTCGATTTAGGGGTAAAAATATTAAAAAATCTGGGAATCACTCACTGATCTATAATTTAGGAAAAATCTGGATTTTACACCCACGTGAAAGCTGTGTATACAAACGTGACAGGTGTTCATTGTTTTACACATCGATTAGCCATTTGCAGTAACGTGCTATCATTGAAGTGGCTATTTCCCTGAACCCAACGCTCAAATTGTCATTATTTTCAAATCGTTCTGAAGAACGAGATAACCAGATATTCAAAATGATCAAACAGAAAAACGAGACGCAAAATTGTTCTCCATTAACACATGGTTTGCAATATCGCCTTCGTACTCGGTGCACGATCTTCGCGCTATGACTACTAATGCACACTGAATAAATTTATTGCACGCATGCACCAGACGAAGATAAAAAATGCAGCCGTCACATAGAGTTGTGTTGATGTTCTCTTTATTACTTCGTTGCTTGTTGTGCTGCTTTTTCGCGCAGTGACAGAACGAACTATCACCATTGATACGTGATCAGAAAAAGGTTGGGAATCACTGATACTCTGAGATTATCTGTGCAAGAGTGGGAGAAAGAGACTAGTTTTGTCGTTCTATAAAGTTACCAAACTTTAAACTGCTTTTATATCCATTTCTATATATGCTTTGTTAGATACGCTGAGTAATATAGGGCTAATAAAGCAATTTAATTGCGTCACATTATATATTACTTACCGAGTGTATCAGAAATAGCTACGATGCGAGTGCTGGCAAAAGAGAAGCTTCATTCGGTTCACGAGGCAATGTTATCCCTGGACTTGCTACTTTTTAGAGACTTATGATGGTGTAGGAGTCTTCCAGGTGCTTTATATACCCGACTGTTTTTTTAGCATAAAGGACGGGGGTTCCTAAAAACTTTTGAGACGGGCGTAATTTGCGTTCATTCATCGTTTGCAAAATTAAAAACTAAAAAGAAAACCGTAGAAATATTGCATTCTAGATTTATCATTGATTTGAACATTATGGATCGAAGAATTTTTCACGCCGAGATCTTCTAGGCTTTACAGATGATAACGCACATCTGGTGTCGTATTGCCTTTACATCGACTAGAGAAGAAAAACTGCTATTTAGAGTTAGGTGTTTGAAATCGAAAGATACATACTACACACATTCTTATATGTAATACGCAAACACATTCCGCGGACAAATTAGTTATGAACATTAATACAAATTCGCTGGTGGCGAGTTGAATTTCATGTCGAAAACGCAGTTATATATTTGTTTTCATCCATACATTGTTTCCAGTGAATATTATTGCGCCCCCTGCGGGGGTTTGTATAGTTTGTTTTAAATTAAATCGAAAAACGTGGCTAAACAAAGGTTAATCTCCTGTGTACCATTATCTTTGTAAATAAAATCAAAATTAGAACATAATAAAGAACCCTTTAAAACACACAACTGGTCTAGAACCGGTACACAATTGGCAATAGCACTAGCGATAACATTCGCCAACCACTGACAAGTGACAAGTTGATAATCATGGCAAGACCATCAACGCCATCTGTAAGGGAGGTGTAGAAGAAATATATCTGCGAAATACGCTTCACTTAACCATGCAGCCCAAGATTTTTGTAAAAAGGAGTTAATTTTTCATTGTTTTATTTTAATATTAGAATTAGAAAAACGTAGTTAATTCATGATTCAGTTGGCAGTTGGATGAATGATAAAGGGTAAGAATGAATAAAACAAGATTCAATAACAAATAATGATATTATAACTTCAATATTAAGCATATTTAATACACAAGAACTTTGAGGGTAACTAAAAGGAAAAAGAATGAAGGAACATATGTACAAGTATAAGCCACCATTTTACATTAATGATTCGAATTAAATAAAGGTCCTAGGCATATACTTGATTCAAGTATTCAGTATGTTATTCCACGTGTGGCTAGTGCTAGTCGCGTCGCTTAAATAAATTCTGGTTAATTCTACTAATGATTTAGCTTTCAGTATGTTGAGAAAAATAACTTCAAAATTACAATAATAAACAACAGAAGAAGGAAAATACTAGATCCTGAGAGTAATTTTAAAGAATGTAGCATGGAAAAAAATTGACACAATTCTAGTAGGGTTGGACATTCGCTTTTTAATGCTAACCTCGCTTGTTAAACTAAAAATCGAGATACGACGAATCACAAAGTAATTCAAAACATTCAACTCTATTATAGTAAATGCAAAACTTTTGTGATAATTTCTAGACGAATAAATTTGTGATATGACATTTTTGAAATTGACATGTTTCAATATTGTGTGAAATGGATAAGAAGATTGGCAATGGCAAGAATATGTTAGTAAATATAATGTAAATATAATAAAAATAAATCAAAGCTCGCAGATACTCATAAAATACAAAGGGAAAAAAAAAATACGAAGACAAATTCAATCAACTGTGAGATACAAGATATTTGTTATTTCGTAGATAATAGTAGTAGAATAATTATAACGCCAGCGTATTTTTCTATTTTTTGTGTGAATTCACATCAGACTTTTTTGAAATATATCGTGAAATAAAATAATATTTTCGAGACAATTATTGATTTTTTATATATGGTATGTCCTGACAGTCTTGAAACTCGTTCGCTACCAGTCTAAGCACAAGATTCTTTGTTAGCTGCTGTCTTAATGTCTCTAATGTATCGAAAAAGAACTGCGTATATTTCAGGTCCGTGTGCAGATGTAATCTCATAGCTTCTTTTAGTGTGAACAGTTATTGTCAGATTCGTTCCAAGTTGAGGACTGAAATACAATATATCTATTTACAACAACCCAGGTGGGAAATGCTAAAAAGTATTATACAATTTGGCATAAAAAAGAGGTTATTATATATGTTCGTCATATTCAAAATCTCGGATTCGGATCTTCCCGATTTTCACCAGCGCCACAGGTATTATTTAGACCGTGTCTATAAGTACAATTTATCAAAATAAATATCGACATGACTTTGCAGATATACAATGAAGCGGGTATGCCATTACATTCAATAATTAATCAAGTAGATATAGTAAGTTAACTATATTCAACTTACTTTTGTGTTTCGAGTTTGACTTTCTTTAAATTTTTAGCCGGGACATCCATCAAGATTACTGGTATTGTTTCTACATCTGATTCTTCAGACTTTGCACGATCAAAAAGTTTGGTATCGTTACCTTGACGCACCGTGACTCCTTCATGAGACAGACTGAGAGACAGGTCACTCGTATATGTGCATGCTCCTCCAACCATAGCAAAAGTTGTAATACTGTAGAGTGTAGATGGAAGTTGTATTAAAAAATGTAATATAGTATTTTTTTTGGTTTACTAGACCAATTATTATATTCCAACGTCCTTAACACAAGCGCATCATACTGTCGAATACGTAAATCTATTCTTCTTATAAATTTATATATTTGTTTTCATCCATACATTGTAAATAATATTGCGCCCCCTAGGGTCTGTATAGTTACTTTAAATTACATAGCGACAAAACGAAGGTTAATCTCCTGTGTAACATTACCTTTTAAACAAAAACCGAAATTACGAATTATATATTCCATTATTATTATATTTCAACGCCCTTACCGCAAGCGCCTTAGCGCATTTATAAAACGGGAAAAAGTGTAACAGTAAAAAGGTTCACAATTAAGAAAACTATACTGCTTTCGGGATGTTAAGTTCCGAGTAATGTTTACCTGTAAGTTCTGATAAAATATGACGTCAAATTGTGCATTGCATATCTTATTACTTGAGCCATTATGTCCATCGGATTCATTGCTTGAGTATGTTTTCTCTGTGTAAAAGTTGAAATAATATATAACTTTTCACTATTATTTTATAACTCCAATATTAATACAATAAGAGATAAAAACATAAAAGGTACTTAAATACGATCGCCGGTTGTGATTGAAAGTAAACAAATACAACGAAAAGGTTTTAATAAAAAAAAACACGTGGTGTCGCCAGGGCTTGAGTTTGGTTTGATAGACAGTGATAAAAATATATGTTATTTATCACCATTGCGTGTTGCCCTTGAACAAAAAGAAAATAAAACGAGCAACTTGACTTTTTGTTCGTAGCTGTAATTCTATCTCAGATCGTCTACTAAATAGTGTTTATTTGTTGTAGTAAGTCATGAAAATGGAACAACATTCTTACGGCCAGTGCTCGTAGTGTATTGGTCACCATCCGTAACCAATTTTTCTTGTCCGATTTATAAACATCATGTGGGAGACATTGGTCACAAACTGCAGCGACTCGTTTCTCGTCTATGAATTCGATGCCATGTCGAACGCAATACTGATGAGCAGCAAGAAGACTCAAATCTTGGGCCTGATATAAAAAAATTCAGTTGATGTAAATCAGAATCAAATTTACTGCGTTTATCTGGAGTAATTAACCCATAATTTCGGTGGTGTGTGCCCGTCCTTAAAACAGCATAAAACCGTCGACAGGGAATTTATCTATCATGAGAATTGCTTTTCAGTATGCAAGTTTAAAAAATCACTATCCAATTTGAATGCTCGTGTATACTGAATAAATTTTCAAGAAAAAAAAAATTACAGCAAACTTTTATTCTATATCACCCGTCTATGACAAAGCCATAGGGGCAAATAATTTAACATACTTTTTTACAGAAATATTCTCCGGTATGAACTCCTCCACATATCTGGGAAAACGTTAACCATGTTGACATATGTTCATCACTCGCACAAAATAAATCTCTGGGTGAAAATATGTCTCTCCTAAAAATAATTACGTTGTCAAAGTTCTTTTTCCGGTCTTGTCTTTACCACATTGCCCATATAATACTCTATAAGTCCAAAGTTTTTTGATGCGATATTTATGCAGTTATTCATGTTGAGTTGATTTATTTGGTGTATAGTGTTAAACTGTCTAAAATCTCGTTTATATTCCCATTTGTTCAGTAATTTTATTGCATTCGGTATTCTGGGTATTGTTGACCTTGCTTTTGAAGCGTGTTCATGAAAAGCATGAATATGTTCAATTATTATATAAGCTTTTGCATCATAAAGGCACATTTAAAGAAGCTTTTCTTGTGATATTTCGATCCGTCTCAATTTTGTAGACTTAGTTCTATTGGCTTAAATATAATATTCAATCATAAATCATTTATATTTTTGCTTTATTTCCAGTTCAATGACTTGAAAATAAATGGCATTCCAAATATTAACCACTCAGTCTTACAATGTTGATCGGTCTTGTATTAGCATTTGTTTTTTCTACATTATTCATTTCATTTTGGTGCATACAAAAATCGTTTTTTAAACAATAGACGAAAGATACGGTCATATAAATAGTGAAAGTTGGTCATATTTGATTTTAACGGTTTTGTGAATTAAAAATCATTTCACAGTATCTAAGTTCGCCCTTTTTAAAAAGGTTTCCATTTTTATCGTTTCAGAAGCTGAACTACGAGCATCAGCAGGAGATGCTAGTATAGTTTCGAAGGCTCGTTTCGAAGGCTCGAAGGCTGATGTATGTACTTTCTCCTATAGTTTGCCAAATAGGACATTATGCTCTTTTGCTATTTTGGTGCTTAGCCTTCGGCGAGATTTGCACGATGCAACGCTTATTATTACTAAAGATATGATATAGCTGGACCAAACTAAAATCACTCAACGGATGCAATTATTATAGATATTCCTAGCGTGGTCATTTTAAAATAGTTTAAGTCATGAATTATTTTTGCCTGAGGGATAAGGTATACAACGCCTCAAATATTTGTAATATAAATATACAAATAGAAATTTAGTTATTTTATATGTGAAAAATTATAAAGGTATTTTTTATAATTAACTTTCATTTTTTAACATTTGACAAATATTATGTAATATGTATCACATATAGTATTATTCCCAAACACGGTGACAACAATACACTAACCTGTAATAAAGTCTGCAATTTGTTTTATTGAATTTATGGCCGGCATAAATTTCGACTTGAGAAAATGCGTCCATTATAGAGAACCTTCCCGATCCAAGGTTGATAATCTATTAAAACGATAGAAAAAAAGACATACAAAAAGAAAACAAAACTTTGAATACAAAACACCAATCAATTCCATTGTCATTGAAATATGGGTTGTGTTCAGTATTTTGCTGTATACCGTAAAAACGGTGTGGTAGCAGACTGTATCACATTACAAACATTGATGACTTTTAGTTTATAAATATATGATCAATACTCTGAGCATTGGACGGAAAAAATTGAAAATATAATGCTCGAAGCGAGAAGATAAGCATTTAGAAAATTTAAAAATGCCTCGATACAGGCATTCATTCCAATATAATCAATATGCAAAATATAAAGTCGACAATTTTGCCAATTAACGTGCCTACACGATGTACGGCATGGAGACCATGATCGGATAGCATCGGTTCAATTCTGGATGTTTGGGACAGTAGTTTTGTGTGTTTTAGATCATTCACCTTATCACTGGACTGTAGAACAACACAAAACCCAAAATGTTCCTTGATTCTGTTTTTGTCGGCCATAGATTCCAATATCTCCTTGGATGTCGATGCGGGATCTACTGGAACTGTTCTAACGGAGTGATCAGCACAGATAACAGGGAATAAAATTGGTTCTTTTATTGTGGCAGCCTGGAATTTATATTCAATATTAAGAAAAGAATATCTTATATTTTCATTGTTGATATTTTATATGGAAGGCATGCCGTCGATAAAGCACAGTGAATATGCTACTAATGACGCACTTGATTCAATACGTTAACAATGCCTGGATTTGCTGCTCAAGTTAAATTACTTCAGAATTTTTCCATTTTTTTTTGTGTTACCTTAATTTCAACCGAACATGGAGGGTTAACTCTCGGTCCATTTTGTACGGTTCGTCGCAGTCTTTCGCTGCAGTAATTACTCCATGCGTGACGGTGATGATGAATGAACTTTTCGACCAAGGCTAGAACCTGTAAACAATACGCGATATTCTGAATAGTGTGGATCGAAGACATATACCGATCAATTTAGAAAATGACAGGAAAGGGCATTTTCCAATGCAGTTACAGTCTAATATTGTGTAATGTTTCTAATTTGTGTATTCTATAGCTGATATGTACAGATTTCACAGATTTTATATCTGATTATTAGGTAGGCACATTTGATATTATTGTCATGGGTATCCTAATGTAAGATTCAAACTACCGAGCGCCTATTCGGCCCATTGAGGTTATATACACCTCAATGATTCGGCCTCATATTGGTAATGCAACATGCAATGATATGGATTCTGTGCTGTGAGCAGAAGCACTGGCTAATTCTTCTTATTCCTGCGGTCGTAGTGTTAATTGCCTTAATTAATTTTATCATGATCACTGATTGCTTTAATGGTTTATTTCATTTGTTTACGTCTAAACAATACCACTATTTCAGAGTGTGTTGTTCAGCTATTCTAAGAAAATTTTAGACGATTAGGAGTAATATATGTTAAAATTCTACCACATGATAAGTTGTATGAAAATATGGACGAAATAGTAGTTTGTGACTTTTTATTTACATTCTATAATCAGTAAAATCTTAAACCAGTCAGTGGAAACTCCACGGTGTCCACGAGAAAGTTTTCTCTAATTCATAATCTTTTATATTGAAAATTGTTTAGGCTTCAGCACTGCAGCATATTACAACAAAAAATTACCTTGGTTGATGGAGAAAAACTTCCCATGACTAATGCGAGTAAAATCCACCCGAGTGCAGTGCTGTATTGAGAAGGATTGTTGACGAGTTGCTTGATGACAAGACAATAGATTTCATCTCGCAAATAGGGAAGTTTCAATCCCACGTTAACCAGGAAGTGCACCTGAAGATATTGTGAGTATTTCTGGTAAGAGGTAAAACTATCATGGAAAACTGAAGCCTGTAATTTGATCTCAAGTTGGTTTGCAGTTGATTCACGTACAAGATTTCGTCGTAAAATACTTATTTCAAAGTGACGTTTTAATCATTATTTTAGCATATTAACTATCGCATTTTAATTTCACTGGAAAACAACAATTGTAATTTCGAATGATTATATATAATGATTTTGAGTTACTAAAATCACATTATCTTAGTTCACGTTTTGAAGAGATTCATATTTTAGTATAGAAAAATAAAGCAATCTCAACAGCCTACTTTAAAAAAGCGTTGGAATAATCCTGGATTGTTATCCAAAGCGTAATGCATTATGTATCTTAGATGTATACAGCAGAAATCAAATAGAAAAAAATTGGCGCTTCCGAAGTATGTGCACCAAGATGGCACACAACCTGAACTTTAACCTGGTACACATACTATTTTCAGGTTGTGCGCCATTTTGGTGCACATTCTTCTGGAGGTCCAAAAAATTAGTACGTCAACAGAAGTCCATATGGAAGAATGCAATTCGGAGGTAGCTCATAATATCCGTGATTTATTATATTTATTAATATGGCTGTGAACAGGAATAATATTTTTAAACATGTCAGATGATAACTTTGAATAAGATGTTGTGTACAAATGTAACAACAGTTTATTGTGTTCTTGAAAGTATATAGAATTTTCTGCCAATAATTATTTTTACCTTTTCTAACACTGAAAGGTACGACATAGGACTTGTCGTCGATTTGAAACTAGTTGATGAAGAATGAGGTTTCGAGACTTTTTTTCGTTTTAGCTCTGTAGATGTGGGAGCATCCATTGGTGGAGACGAGGGAACAAACATGGATGTTGGTCGCGCTAAATTCACCTCTCCTTTTATTGTTGAATTTGGCGAGTGTTTTGACGAAATGTCGCTTGAATCAGCGCTTGATTTCCTCCAGAGTTTTTTTGAGTTTCCAAAGTATTTTTTCTTTGATGTAACGATACTTCCAAGAGATCGATGCTGAAAGAAAAATACAAATTCGTAAGATACATTTGTTTCCCCCTGTTATATATGACGTTCGCTAGTTCAATTACAAAACTGAATATCATAGATTTATAATGTTTTCATGTAATTTGCACTTGTGATGACGAATGCAACTGGCCAGTAAGACAAATGTGTTTACAACCAGCAACATAGTAGATCATAGCAAAACGTCACGGCGCAACACGTGACTATCAAACATTTTTCTTGGGCAGTGTAGCAGGAGCTAAATGTAATACTTGAAATATTTTTGGAAACTGTCAACCACGATTCGAAACTACTATCTCATATGTTTATACCACATTATGCACAATATTGCAAATTATAAGTGGGAATTTTAGAATAATACCTTTTGCAAGGAATGGCTGTCATCTCCCATAAACGACAGAATAACATTCCAACAAGCTTTCAAAATCTGCATGTCCGGTTGTACAAAGACGTCTGACGCGCTCGATCTCGATCTAGCCATATTTGTATTGTCTTCAGCTATAAATAAAAAAATGAAATTATTAATGGATGGAGTTGATTGAAAAACATGGCACAATATAACCAATTATGGATTAACATCCTCATATATTTTTCATATGCAATACTTCAGTACAACTGCATAACAGTTTTCGTGTTGTTCTCAATAGTGTGAATATTTGCTGTATATATAAGAAATAATACGTAATGTCAGTCACAAATCGGATACAATTGCTACATCTAACATCCAACATTGTTCATACAGGAAGGAGTATGTGATGTTAATCTAGATAAAAAATCTCATGCAATAACCGAAAGTTATCAATAATTTTGAATTTACGTGAAATACCCTTCTTTATAGGACCCCGATACTAACCTCTTAAAGCAGATATTTGTTGAGCTTTGGGTTTTGCACCTTGATTTCCAGGAGATGGAGGAACACGATTCTTTTTTGCGTTTGATATTGAGCTTCTGCGTTTTAATATTGCGGAATCAGTGCTGATTAACAACGGCATTTCAGTTTTATGTTGAAAACAACCTTTTGCTCCAGGCACAAAAAAGTCTTTAACTAATTCATGTATGCCGGGAGGGAGCTCGCTGTCTACAAATGTAACACCGTCTTTGGAATGTCTCCTGCGCACATTACTATTTGCATCATTTCGATGCATTGCTGATTTTAAAGGAGATGGCTGATGATTTGATACTGCTAACGTTTGTTTTGTTATTGTAAATGTTGGAGAAGGTGGAAGTGAATGAGAAGTTGAAGTATTTCCATTTGATGTGACAGGAGTTTGAGCGTCTGTAAGGCCAGGGGGCAAACGTTGTTTTGATAGTCCATGTCCATGAATTCTCTGTAAGGGCTGACGGTTATTTATCTTTGGTGTACATTGTGCTGAATTGCTTTCTGAGGATGGAAGACTTGATAAATCAGGGGCGGATGTAAGTAAGTTAGAATCATTCACGTTTGTTGGAACTTCGTTGTTTTTACCATTACTAATTGGAAAAGCTTTTATTGGCCCGTTGTTATTGTGATAGGATAAATCCGACTGCGTTTCATACACGCGTGCATTACGATTTCCTCCATTTTTACCTCTTTTAAGTCGCATTCGAATGATGTCAATGCCTGCAGCATCGGATTTTTTGTTGTCGGAAGACGAGCGTTCGGCAACACCATTTCCATTAGTGCTGTTTACATGGCGTCGTGTTGATACGTCATCACTGGAATATGGACGCCATGCGCTGCCATTAGAACCATCGGTTTTCACTTGCCGGAAACTAATGCCGGAAACGGGATTATGACCATTAGACATTGTCAGGGTCACCGTTGGCATTTTGGTCTCCCATACAGAATTCTGATTCGAATTTTTCCCAAATTACACTGCACGATACAACAAGTGTCTCGGCTATCCTGTGATTTGGGTATGATTATATCGGATAATAATTTATTGGTTTCTTTGTTTCTTGAAAAAGGTCCGTATGTCTGGGGAGAGATTAATTGTTGATGTACAGTTACGATCTAAGCTTATAATACAAATGAATAATCTAAAAATACACAACGTTGTCTATATTTCATAAATTAAATCCATAAACTTCCTTTTTTTTTCTATATAAAGCAATTGAAAGCATGTGCAATTAAGCCACATGTAAGGATTACTTACACTCTCAGTAAGTAAAAGTAAAAGCCTCCTCCGAAGAAATAACAGCAGTTTTAGGTTTTGAAAAGACAACTAAATTGAATTATCATCAGAAAAGCACTTAAAAAACTCTTTTCCTCTTGACCAATTGAAAAAATTCCAAAATATTTTTTCCGAAAAATCATTCGCTCATTTATGGTGTTACTATTTGAGAAATTTGCCCAAGACAAACGTCATGTTTTTATAATCTTTTTAGTTATTCAACTTTCTAAGAGCTAATCATTGTCAGCCATGTATCGTGAATTAAATGTTTGCTTTGTTATACTCATCCTTCCCTTCACAAGTGAAAATCAGTTTATATATTAGATTTGTTTTAACGACAACAAATAAAACATAATGTAAAGATAAGTCTCATATTCTGAATTTCGAAAAACTGATCGTTGGTATTATTCTCCTCACTATTATTCCTTTTATACAGAAAAAAACTGAAAGAGAAAGAATATTGAAAATTAAAATACATCTATTCTCCATAAAATAAAAAGTGACACTACAAAATGGGAATATGAGTAATAAACACGGTGCCTGCGTTTCGCGTGTAATGGGGTTTAATGATGCGAACTAAAAACGATGACAAACGAATACTTTCAGATTTATTCTCGGATTGCTTACTTTTCCAAAGTAACAGATAATGTTGTAATTTGAATTTTTTGTAAAATAGTGATTTCTATATAACTATCTATATAACACGTTTCTTCTGTCAGGGACTTCCCTCAACCATTAAATTTAACCCATGCAAGATCTCAAGTTAGTGAAGGTGTGCAAATAGCGTCAAAATTTTTTATTAATGTCAGCTCCACACAAAAATAGCTCACTCAGTGACTCGACGACAACTCAAGCGCCACCTCTAAATTTTAACATCCTTTATTCTGTACGTACTATGCGCTGCTTTAGCTATTGATTTCGAAGAAGCGTTCTTTTTTAATTTGTGATGGAGTATATCTTCATTATCTTAATATTCAGTGTTTCTTACTATACCTGCGGGACACAACAATATAACCGCCTCCAGACAACTAATAATGACTTGTGATTACGTATATTCGACAGACATTCAAAACAATATACTAAGATCTACTTTTAAAGTATTGTTTTATCATGGCAAAGGTTTCACCTACATGCAATTGTTGTTCATACGTGGACCATTGAAAAAATTAAAACTCCAGACGCTCTGTATGCACGGACAATGTTGGGAAATATTTTCGCAACATGAAACAAATGTGAATCAAATCACATGAATCATGAGAATACCACGACCTGCAGGGCATACAAGCACGGTAGATAGAAACTCCAGACTTATTTGGTTGGATCATACCTGCTTAAACAAAGTCTGTTTATGGAAAGATTTATGACTTAATATATCTGTGCCAGAAAGATTTGTCATACGTAATGCTGCTCATTCTTTACGTCTATGGCAAAAGGTGACGCATCGACTTATACTTTGAGAGAAATCTAGATGGTATTATAATTAGGGACCGTTCTTAACAATATCTATTCTGCGAATACACAAAATCACTCGGATTTTTTATTTTTAACAATTTGTAATTATGATTACGTATGACGTTATATTTATGTTTTTTTTGTCTTTTACTCTTCTCGGGAATGTAATAATGTTGTCTGCACTCAATGCGTAACAACCTGAAACAACAATTCTAATTTCTAATACAAAATACACGTACATCTCATCTAAATTACTAACTTACATATTTCGACTATAGTAATCTGTTCCAATACAAAGGACTATGCACCTATTTAGTCAGTTTTGTGGGTAACGAGACGCGATCACGCGCACAAACCGCAAGCTTAGAAAATGACTCCAATCCACTGAGCTGCGAAAAGCAACCACGCGTGTATCGTTTTTTCCACTTAACCAACGAACGCATTAATTGATACGATTGCAAGTATCTATTTCACGAAACATTTTTTAAAGGTTGGACGTAAACGAAGTGGCTTGAAAATGTTAAATTAAAATGGAACGAAGTCGTTTGGGTTAGAATCGGCAATAGGTTTCTTTTATAGTTTACAATGCTGGTCCGATTATATATATTTAATGTGCGTCGATTTTATGACTATAAAACGTGATCAACGTTGAATTTGTGCTACAATTTTGGCACATCAAATTTACCAAAAACAGCCCAATAGCATAAGAATACCATTTTCCCACGATAATTACTAAATTCAGGAATAAATACTTCTGGAGGTGACTGTTGCCAAATTGACAATATTTAAATTACGATTACCCAGATTATGAAATCGAGTATATTCAATGAGAGACCTATCATATATCAAATCATATATATCAGAAGTTTGCTACAAGTCAGAATGCAAGTAGCAATTCAGATTAAATTAGATTTTAAGATTCTGGCCGATAGAGTTTATGGTATTATACAGGAAAGATCTTGAAGTTTGTCCCAGGCATTTTTCCCGTATAAAATGCGTAAGTTATTTCTATATAACATTACAAATCAATAAGCATAGTTATGGGTTGCACCCGAAGTCTTCGCACACTTCAGGAATGTACATCCGCTTGAATTTTACATCAAAATGACCCTCTCTTCTCATTTTTATGATTGTAACTATACTTTATGATGTATACTTACTTATCCAGTGCTCGGTAAGAATAGTTATCACAAACAAAAACAAAATCAAAGTTTAAATATCATGATATTTCAACGCTAATATTGATGTCGAAACGATTGCGTTGATTAGGGGCGTCGGGGACGGAAATGTGTGACATACACGCGAACATCAGGCTGATTCCGATCGAACATCGTACAATGATGAACATTCGTTTTTCAATCAAAGCTAAATTCAAAAAATAATCCATCTTTAACTCTGTTAATGTCACATGAACACTAGATTTTTTTTTATAAACGTCGTATTCTTCACATTCTTGCACAACATCTTAGAGAATTCGGAAATATTTGACGCTCATAATTCCAGCATGAATCATTTTTAGTTGTCGGATATTTATCTGCCATACTATGTTGTCACGATTGTACGGTAGGACAAGCAAGTAAAACGAATTCAAATTTTGCTCTGATGATTACTGCGTTACTCTGACAAAAACAGTAAATCTGAATCACTATATGTTCTAAGCTAAGGAAACAGCCTGGTGAACAATCAAAGTTGAAGGTATGATAATATGGAACGCGTGATACACGAATCTAGCGAGAAACTTTTCCGTTCGGCTGCTTTATCTAACCGCGGTTGTCAGTGGGTAAGTAGTTATGGTGTGAACATAAAATCTTCCAAGTTTGTCACGATCTCCTCATTTTATCGCAAGTGGATATAATTAAATCGCTGCAGGGATACAGATGCAAATCAGAAGAAATACTAATTTTAAACACCGACTAATGCAATGAAATCTCTGACACAACGCCAAAGAAGATACGCTTCTATCACGGAATATTATACATATATTTCACGGCGTTATTAAAAAATAACTTCCGCATACATCATTTATAACTATTTTGTTTGATAATGAATGTCAGTCATATTGTCACAGTGAAGAAAATCTGAAAATGCGAGATATCAAAAAACAGATAAATTCAAATAAAACTAACATCGAACTTGTTTCGACCTTAGCAGTAACTTCTTTCCGATACATTTTCGTAGACAGTACCAAGAGTGGTTCTAAAATTGGCAAAAGGAAAAACTACTGTTGATAGAAAAAAATTATCAAGTCGACTAATAATGAGCGTAATGAATGTGATTAGAATGCAACTGGCAGATTGTACACGAATATATGAAAATAAATATTTTATTAAATATCACTCCCAATTTTGAATTTCAATATTCAATTTCTGAATTTTTGTAAAAGGGCTTGTGCCTTAAATGACTTGAAAATTTAATTTCAATCGCAACCTACCCTGAATGAATTTGTAAAAATAGATGGAACAACAAATTCAGAATATTTGATCAAGAGCCCAAATAAACCAGTCAATACACAAGGAGAGATAATTAGAATGATGTACTTTTAACCACAGTTGATATCGTCCATCAATTTTCTCGTTTGTAGTATTTTACGAACAATGGTGCTTAATGCCAATTATGTCATCATACAGTTCAAATTTAAATTAAATCACCACCTTTACTCGCAGTACAAATTTTTCTAACGTTCAAAAATTAAGTCTTCCTGATCACATTGTTGATAACATATCGAGGAAACAATTTGTTCATGAATCATTGTGAAAAATTATGTACCAAAAATTGAACACTGCCTTGCTTGGTTCATTTGTTGAGTCGATTTCCCACATTTTGTCATCTATGGATTGTGTGGAAAAAATTGCATTTGGGTTGAATGAATCTTTATGCGTATCGATTTAAATTTAGAGTGAATTGTTGATAGGCGAAATTGCGTCTTTAAGATCACTCTGCAAAATGTTATATATAATCCAGATAAAAATTAATCAACTCACACTCAATACCTATATATCCTAGAACAGGATTAGGAATTACATCCATTTCTTAGCAACTTTGTTCTACATCGTTTTGTTTTCTTCATTTGGCTTTAGGCACAAACAAATAAACAGCATAAATATAGAATGATACCTATAAATTGTTTATAACTCTAGCAGCAGGTCTAAATTACTAAAACCTCTATAAGTCGGGTTCAAGCAAACGTCTTTCCATTTTATATAATAAATTAATACGTATGCTATCTGTTCCGACTCGAAAATTCTAAATTCTCGAATCAGTTTAAAGGTATTTTTAAAATAATCTATTCGGTTCGTAAAATTCGTGAAAATCTCACGGATCGTAAAATCTCAGGCCAAATCTATTCTGAAGTTTAGCAAATTATTTTTGCGGAAACGGCACGATGTTGCCTCCGGGCTTATTGTTCTATTTGTTTATATAGATAGCGCAGCTTAAAAACAGACTACGTAAGCTGTTAGCAAAATACATAAAGTGCACCATCGTTTTAATTTCATTAGGTTAGAAGCATAATACTAGACGTTCATTGTTTTGTCAATATTGAGTGCAAATCATACATGTGGCATGATAGGCCAAATATTCAAACCACCTATAGTTCAAACTCGATATGTATAAATGACCTAATTTTTTACTTATGAATTCCGACGTTCCGGTCTGCATGTGATGCATGTGAGCACACGTTAAAACGATTTTAACTTTAATTATATACAACATCAAATGCCTCCAGAATAACATCTCTGTACAAAAACTGAACGTTGCGCCATTTTTATTGCTCGTATATCAGATATGTGACAGTCTTAATTAAAAAGTAATGCCAATAAGAAGAAACCCTGTCTCTATTCAGAAGATTATATAAAACTCCCGCTTGTTTAATCTTAGTATCTCTCTCTATTTGTATGTGCCACCTTCGAATACTCGTTGCAACTTCAGTAAGTGCTTCCTAAAAATTGGTTTAAACATTAAATAATAATAACTTGACAATTTTATAAAAATACCACATTAGTATTTATCGATGGCTCGAATACCAATGAACAAACTGCGTGGTGGTTCATGAGCGTTTCCAAGGTTAGTTTTGTCAAATGCAGACTATGGAGCATGTAATCAATCAGTGGAAGTATTTTTTCTCTTGAATACTCATGAAATACAAATACGGAAATTTTGCAATGCCGTGAGTCATAAAACTATTCATTGTGTTGCTAAATACGCGCCTTACGTTTGATCACAAATTGTTGTATCCTGGACTTTCTGATTTATTAATTTGTTTTAGAACTTCTTCTTAATTCATAATTTCTGATAAATGGTAACACATAACTGACTCTTTCTGCAGCGTCAGTTGT